CTATAATGCCTCTCTACTACATCAATGTCAGCCAGTCATCTACAACGTAGGACCAGGCATATATATTCATCAGTCCACGTTGCCATACCTTATTACTACAAGATAAACACAAAAATCATAGCAGTTACTCCAATGGTGGTAATATATAGAAGGAGGATTGCATATAAAGATATAGTGCAAAAAGAAAGAATTAGTTGGTAGAAAGAAAGGTATGAAGTAATTTTAATCACACAGTTTAAGGGAAGACAGAGTGTATACACCTGCACCATTGTGATCGATTTCGAGCCATATCACTCAGTCTCCAACCAGTGGTTACGATAGTTGCACTGACCCCAACCAGGTAGTCTGCATCCACCAAAATGGCTAAGACTAGAATTTTGACTTCAAGGACTGATGCCGTGTTTTGGTTTGGCCTCCCCTAACTTTCTTCCAACCATCTCTAACACTAGTTAGCATTGTGCATCATGGTAATCGGTGTTCAGGCATACAAAACACGTGGTCCAAACATCTCAGTCGATGAAGATTTACAACCTGATCAACTGATTTACCGTCATTTCTTGATGCCTTACGTATAACCCCAGCATTACTTACTCGGTGATCACAGCAAATGCGAGCACTATTTCTAAGACATCTGTGACCAAATAGTAGTAACTTACGAGTATCTTCTACTCTTAATGGCCAAGTTTCGCAGTCGTAAAGTAGAACAGAACTGCTGCGAAGTATACTCGCCCCGACTGTTGCTGCTACTTTGAAGTGGTGGTCGGGCTTGCCTATTGTGATGAACCAATCGAGCTATACTGGCCGGAACAATCGTTCCTCAAGGTCCTAACATACCAGACAAGTCTGTTGAAGAGCGCTAAGGCTAAAAGCAACAAACCCAAGGTCCGAAGGCGAAGTCGTACTGCTGACTGTACAGAGGTGTGACAGCAGTAAGGTGTTTCCTTCAGATAACCGGCGTAACAGCGATGCTGCCTTCCTACAAGGAGGAGTGGGGTTAGAAAAGGTCGACTCTAGGGATGCACATCTCAACAAGTGTAGAGCTAACACAAAAATTACTCACAAAATGGTGTGTGACCGACCTCAAGCAGTTGTACCTTGGGCACTGTGATCACGCCCTCAGGTCACTAAGACCCCCTCTAACCCAATTTCCTTTTCAGCTACCTCTAGAAGGACCCTTCCACAGTGTGGGCGACCGGGAAGTGATAACCGCCCTCACACCTCTAACAGCATTCAAGATCACAGTATTCATAATCAATCTCCTTTAATTGACAGACAGATATCTCGGCTTCAAAATAGGTAATGTAAGTTGGCAAAAAGCAAACGAGGTTTCTGAATCCGCACACAAATTTCATCAGACACCGACCCATTAGGGCTGGTCAGACTTCTAAAATAAGTGAAGTTGTCGACGCGTTCGACTAATTCACTCCCCATCCTTAGTTCTAGTGTGGACACAAACCAGTCCTGAAGCAATAAATTGCATTTAGAGGGAGAGAAATGCATCTCAAACATCCCAGCATTGTTGCTCAGTGCTACCAAAAGACTCTACATCTTATCACCATCCTCACCAAACAGGGCTATATCACCTGCGTATTCTAAGTCGATAAGTGGATCTCTTGGAAGGAGACCAATGTCCGAGAACTCAGTCGACGAGAACGTTGTCTCCCGCAGTATGTCTACGATGAAATTGAACAAAAATGGAGATAGTGGACTGCCTTGACGGATACCACTTGACGTCGCAAAATCATATGACAGTTCGCCATAAGCTATGACTCGACTAGTAGTGTTTGAGTAAAGAGCCTTCACAAGGTCTACGTATTTATGAGGTACTTCTAAGTACACTTCTGATGACCGTTACATGTCAATAGATTCTACATGACTACTGATTTATCTGCTGTTATGATCTTTCGTTACTGGTCAAATGAGCTGTCACAGATATACCAGACAGAAGAGTTTTTCTCGACAATTCTATTTTCAAAAGCTGTGATAGAATCATATTTGTATGGGTTTATTGAGATCCACATTAGATCACTGAGGTTAGAAAGTCAGTGGCTTGTGTCAGTTCTTTTACTACTAAGTTTCTGTGAGTATCTAGTCCTCTCTTGAATGAATCAACTGAATATGCGGAAAACACTCCTAGTAGTGTGTCTCAAGAGTTAATTACTCGGTGACAAAACCCTTAGACCAATAGGGATTTTGTTCCTTTTTGGTTTTTAAACTCTTCTGCTATGTCCCAGTTAATCTCACCTAGTTTTAAGCAAAAGAGAGAGTATATTAGGTCCAAAATCATTTCTTAGTTTTCTGAACATAAATATTAGATCACCTCTTAATCAGCTATAGGGCAGAATAAGAATGCATAACTTCTCAAGCTGCGCTTTGTGTACTTAATTGCACAGATAGTTGTTCTCTGTAATTTTCTCCAAGTTACCAGGGGCTTGCAGCGTGAACGCAGTTTTCAAGTTTTGATCTTACCAATGTTGTGAAGAAGTTCTTCATCATGCATAAAATGAATTGGAATCAAGACTTAGAGTTTGTAATGATGGGCAAAATAGATTATTGACAGATAAATAAATCATGAAACTGAATAGAATTCATGGGATATATGACAGAATAAGGGTCAAGAATGCAACCATAGTATGAGAGGTTTTCATGTGATTTTAAATTGGTGGGTCATCGTAATTGATAAGGATCGATAAAAGATGACTCTGCAATAATAACATTGGAATGGTTGTTAGTGAAATATATTCAAATCTTAAAAAAATGGAGATAACACAACGTGTGAATTCAAGATAAAATCAGTAACAAACACAACGAAATTTTAAACTAGTACACAAAGAAAAATACAGACAGAAAAGAACCTGTTCATAACATTTATTTCCCTATATACGTATGATGGTGATTGTACATGCCTTGAGAATAAAACTGTCTAAAAGAAAATTTCCTCTAAATTAAAAGTTACATCAGGTAACAATGAATATTTTGTTCTGCAAACGAATATCATATCAAAAGTACTCAGCCTATGAATGTTTTTGATATGGTTTATAAAGTAGAAGGCATGCTTACTCTGAGAGTAGATGTCTTGAAAAGATACTTGCGTATTTTGGAACGATTGAATGAGCGGTGGTGGGTTACTAAACATAGGTGGCGAATTGATTAATGAGGTTGTAAATCATGATTGACTGAAATGTTTGAGACTTGTCTTACTTCATGCCTTCCATATGCAGTGTTGCATGATGTAGGAGTAAGTTGTAAGTAAACTAGAGGCGATCGGACCGAAACGTGTGATCAGTCTACATGGTCATTGACTATCGATCTGAGCCATGTTTATGGATGCAGACTACCTGATTAGGTGAGGTCCGTGTGATAACAACGATCAGTTAATGGAGACATGTGATATGGCTCCTAGTTGGTTACAACGATACAAATACATTTACACTTTATCTTACTCTAGATCTTCAGTTGCAGCATTCCTTCATGTAAACCTCAGTTTGTCTTCTCGAAATATATTTTCAGTGTTTAGTTCTTGTCATTGCCGTTGTCGCTACAATTACTGGAACTCCTTCGCCATTCGTCTGGTTGATTTCTTATTTCATTTTGATGTCGTGTGACAACGCACGTCTTTTCATGACTCACTGACTGGTTCATCCACATAATATCAGATGACGTACTAAGAACCTGTCTACCATCTGATTTAGCTCGATTAATTGTGAGGGCTATTAAAACCTTGTCAGAAAAAGTAATACCTTTGACTGAATAGTTCCAAGTTGAGTGCCTAAAAAATCAAGCTACAGATTTATTCTTTATGCTAAAGAGCAGCTTATTCTACTAATTTGTACATCTTTAGAACTCCGTAGAATGTCATCATAAATTTCATCATTAAGTAACATATATTGTTTACTTGTCATCTGAGCTGTTCATTTTAAGTTAATGGACATTATATTGGTTTCTAATAAATGTATTTGAATACATCCAATCATGGTTGCAGTGATGTCTATAATTACACCATTGGAACGAAATAAGCCCCCAAATGCCCTGGTACGGCCGAGAGTGGGGAGAGTCCGCTCTCCCTCTCGAAATGCTCTCACATGGCCACGCGTATATAGCCCCTGCCAGGGAAGTCCTACTCACTGCCTTTTCGTGGCGGGGGTGTTGTTTACGAAAATGAGAGGAAGAAAAGCGAATGTCCGGCGCTTTAACCGGATTCCAAACCAATGGTGTACATGGGCTCCAGTATCCTGCGGGAACAAATGGCGTATGAACCAACTGTTGGTCACCGTCTTCCATGGGACTGCATCTCCTTACGATGCTCCATTGCCTTGTGGATCAGACCTTCAGGTCGAAGGCTCGAGATGTGGCCCCCTAAGAAAACCACCTGTTTCGGTTTGGGCACCCGGGCAGTATCACAGCCTTTACACATATCGGATGAGATTTGTGTGGCCCATATGTATTTGGCGCCTCCTTGTACCAATGTCTATGCGTTAAAATAAAAAAATAACGAAATGAAGCCAGGTGGTTATCATCAAATTTAGTTTTATGATGTAAAACGTGGCATCAGTGCTTGACGTCACTAACTTCTGATCTGAGCCATGTTGGTAGATACCGACTACTTGGTTGGGGTCCGCGTGACTATCGTAACCAATGGTTGGAGACTCTTGGTGACATGGCTCACAATCGATCACAATGGAGTCGGTGTATACACTCTCTGTCTTCCTTTAAACTATGAGATTAAAATCGCTTCATATCTTTCTTTTTGTGAACTAATTATTTCTTCCTGTATTATATCCTTATACCCAATCTTTCTTTTATATATTACAACCACTGAACTAACTAATTCTATGAATCCGGTGTTCATTTTTTTGTGTTAATGAGGTATGGCAACTCGGACCGATGCGTATATATGCCTGGTCCTACGTTTTAGTTGACTGACTGATTTTTATAATATATTTTCTAAAGTAAATTGATGTTTCATCTTTGAAATTTTATTTTAGAAATTTGCTTATTAGATGGCTACTGTGATTAATATCACAGATAAACATCATCTTGAACAAATTTTACAACAGGCAAATAATGTAACAAATGGTCCAAGCATTGTAGTAATGGATTTTTATGCTTCATGGTGTCGTCCTTGTTCAGATATAGCTCCTGTCTTTCAAGAATTAAGCATCAAGTATAAAAATATGAAATTTGTTAAAATTGATGTTGATAAACTTGAGGTAAGCATTTAATGATACCTTTTAATTTTAATATCAGTCAGTCAGTTTGTCATAAACAATATAAAACCTGAAATACAGCATGGATTATTTCAAGTTGCTACTACACCACATCAACAAACCGAGATAAAATTATTTCAAGACAAATTTCAAAGTAGTAACAGTATCTACAGTAATGGTACAGATTGGGTGTCGAAAAAGAAATGTAAGGGAATTTTAGGACTAACAATCTGAGGGGAGAGGAAGTGTGAATTCACCTCCCCCATTCCGAGAGATTCCGAGCCATATCACCCAAAGTCGCTAACCATTGATTACGGTAATTATACGGACACAAACCAGATAGTCTACATCTAACCTATACGGCTCAGTTGAAATATCAATGACTCCATTAACTGGTGTCATGCCTTGATTTGCCCCCCCCCTAGATTCCGACCTACTCGTCGAGGTAGGCGGTGACGAAGATTCGATGCCCCATCAATTCATTTGCCATATTTACTAGTATCCTACAATTTTCTTTTCTGAATGACTATTTCACACAACCATAAAGTAGAAATGAGTGAGCTTTTGTACAGTAAACTGATCTTTTGGTCGGTAGACGGATATCTCACCTACTCCCTAGGTGACATAGTAAGATTTCATCAGATATCAACCCACCAAGATTGATTAGATAAGTAAAAATATCGACTCACTGAACTAATTCGCCCCGTATGATGGTTACGTTTATCTTTGGGCATATAAACATAAACATTTAGCTTTTTTCAACTTCAATTCAAATAACACTGTAATTGTTAAGTCTTATATTCACTAAATTAATACTACTGGTCAAACTTCAGTCCTCCCATTAACATCATGGCGCTTTGATGGGCAATATAGTTTAGAACTCAGGATTTAAACGTTTATTAGTAAATATCCAGTCTTAGCATAGAGAACAACCTCACATTTATGTTTCTACAAGAAGTAGCATTCTGATTAAATTGAATTAGACTCCGCCACGTAAGATATGTTATGAGTTTCAAAGATAAGGTGTGTATTTAGGTTATTATTATTTGAACATATTTGATCAAAATACTCGCATGGAATGAAACCGCTGACTGACTATTGTTGAGTTTATGGAATGTTGGTTTGTTAATTAAAGTGTCCGACTTTCGACTACCAGGTAGCAAGTTCCATTTCTCATCCATTTACTTCGGCTTATGGAACCGAGTAGTAATACTAGTACTCGCATGTGAAATATAGCTGAAAGCTGAGTACACAAATCTTTACCTGGTATATGCTGTTCAGGCTAAGCGTGGGATGAAGCCGGCAAATCGGTCATTGTGACAATAGATTTCTGTTAGATGAGGTGGCCTAAGTATTTGTTACACATATCCAGCCATCAATCACGTTGACGTGAACTTGTGTAAAAACAGGTTAGAAAAACACTAGCTACACGGAATCAGCCCATCAGGTTATTGATTGATTGTTGGAATAAGCGTCGTCCTGAGGTGTACACTTCCTGATTGAGTTTGATCAGATATTCATAATATATGGTTGAAGATTTTAGGTTACATGGCTAACAATCGGTCACAATAGTCCAAATATATTTATCCTTTATCTTTTAAATTTTATGTTCTGATACTATCTTATGCTCTTTTCATTTTTTCCCTATAAGTATGTTCCTTGCTTCCGGTTTCGTCCAATCAATAATAATATTATTGTTTTGATTTCTTCAGTATGAATTTATTTTAATTTCTCAGTATCTGATAGTTTGAACCAATCCACATGTTTTGCCAAACCTTACACTTAATTATAAACAAAGGTGGGTGGCGGTAAGCAGTGAAATCCCAGGCGCACGTCTCGTCCTATTTGGGACTCGTCAGCTAGATGTGCTCTCATCCCAGAGTTGACGTTCGCTCGAGTATTCGAACTGAATACCGTTCGCTTCAAACGCCATCGCGTTATCCACTTAGCTACTGAGTCCTGATAGCCACTTGCTTGTGCAATGGGGTGAAGTTTAAATTCACTTGGTATTGTTTACTTGAATCTTCCCATTGACGTTTAGGACTGCAATTGCTCAGCCTATTATGGGCATATTTGCATACTGTGCGGGTTGTCTCGATATTTCCTTCATTCACAATCATTATAAGCCAAGTGAACATCAATTCTGGGATGCAAGTGCATCCACCTAATGAGTCTCAAATAGGATGGAACGCGCGTCCTCGATTCCATTGTTAGCCACCATCTATCTTTGTTATCATGCTTGTGAATTAAGGCAATATCAAGGCTACCGGCACCGGATGCACATATACCAATAGGAGACTGATCAATCGCAGTCCTAAACTTTCAATATGAAGATTTAAACAAACAATACAAAATGAACTTACACTTTATTATTTTTTATTTAAATTATCTAAACACAAACATTAATACAAAGGGGCACCAAAATATGTATATGGCACACAAAATTTGTTTGACGGCTACAATACTGCCCATGTAACCCAACCGAAACAGGTGGTTTTCTTAGGAGACCACTCCCCGAGCTTTTGACCCAGAAATTTAATCTACGAGGCAATGAGGCAGCGTTAAGAGATGCAATCTCATAATAGTCAGCGGCCAAAGATAGGTTAATACATTATTTGTTCCTTCAGAATCGTAGAGTCGATGTGGGCGATTGGTTTGAAATCAGGGTTTTCCAACTGCCCTAGGTATGTAGACTATCCGCGCCCTCCATACGGCTTAATTACCGGACATTCGTTTTTCATTCTCTCATATTCGAAGCGGTTTGATCTTATTTTTATTGTATGATTAAGTTATTGTATTTTCGAATTCTCTTGCTTGTAAGCTTTTCCGGGATGTATAAACTGTTGTAGTGTCGTACCTTTCTTAAGTTACTGTCACTTTATTACTGACTCTGTTCTCATCCGTTTATGGTATAGTAATGCCATGAGTTTAACTTCTTAATTACGTTGATGCACGTTCAGGATTTTGCTTTTATGAGTGATTCATAAATTTGAACTGTTTATTATAAGTTATCCGTTTGCTGTATTTTGCTCTGTTGTGACTATCGAGCTAGCGAGCATAGGAGAGCTGGATTATGTACCAATATTCGGTAAGACTGATTAATAGTTCTATTCTCGCTCACTTGGTTGACAGAGGTCATCATGTTGAACTGAATAAAGATTTTAAGGTTATCTACCATATTCCATCAAATTTACCACATGGTTTATCTGTGCGTCTTTTGCACATTGCCGAAGCCATTGCAATCCATGTTCACAAACTTAACCTTTGCATCTAAAAGAAGTTTGTATTCGTTAAATGTTATTCTTGGCTGTGATCTCACTACTAGTTATCCGAAGGTCTATCGGTACTAGATAGACAGTCTATATGAAATAATCAATACTTTGAATAGACCAATATAACCACTCTCTCGTAATACCGTCCGATCACATATGCCCCAAAGATAACTAACGAGAAATCTGTTTTTTGCCGTATCACCGTATTTAGATAACTTTACCGATCATAGCTTCCTGCTAGGAGTTCAGGTAGTCCATATTCAAAGGTAGTCACTAGTGAGCAGATTACTATTAGTGTTATTACTGATGTTTCTTTTCAATATGCATTTTTATACTTTAGGACGTTGCACAACGTTACAATGTCAGATCATTACCTACGTTTATATTTCTACGTGGAGCTGAACAAATTGATCGGATTACCGGTGGAGTTCCACAAAAGTTAAGAGATAAAGTACAAGAACTTGCTCTCTCTGGATCAGACTCTCATGAAAGTGGCTCAAATAAAAGCCCACAGTCTTCTAAACAAGTACGCATCCTTTTACTTCGAATCAATTGTCATACGGGATTGACATTTAACTTTTTTTCTAAATGTTCTGATTTCGTTGTTACTATTTAAACATGACAATTATAACACTGTGACTCAGTGTAGTGCAACAACTTTTAATCGTTGGGTAACTCATTTCAAAACTGACTCCACATACACTTTAGTTCAGCAAACAAAGTGTGCATTCATACAGTTGAAGGAAATCTGGAGGTCAAAACAACTGTTAGCCAACACTTAAGTCAGAATTTTTAATACAAAATTCAAGACAGTTCTCTTGTACAGAGTTGAAACTTTAAGAACTACTGCAACCATGATCAAAAAGGTACAGATATTTATAAACAGTTGTTTACGCAAGATACTCTAGATTCGTTGGTTAGAAACCATCAGAAACAACCTACTATGGGACAGAACGAATCAGTTTCCAGTTGAAAAGTAAATTAGGAATAGAAGCTAGAGGTGGATAAGATACGCATTGCGGAGACCGTCAAACTGCATCACGAGGCAAGCCCTAACTTGGAGTCCTCAAGGAGATAAGAAAAGGGAAGACCAAATAACACGTTCCTTCGGGAATTGGAGACAGACATCAAAATAATGAATAACACTTAGCAACGATTGCAAAGCAAAGCCCAGAACAGAATTGTTTGGAGACTTCTTTTGGGCAGCCTATAATCCATGAGGAGTAACAGGTGTTGAGTACACTACGGTTTAGGGCGGGTTGTAAATGGTATTTTGGACTTCAGTTACAAAATGTATAACTTAGAGTGTAATTCGCTTCTATCTTGTACTTGATTACTTAGTAATTGGATTGGGAAACTACTAAATCAGGTCACAATATATATTTACCTTAGAAGTATTTGATCGTAGAATAGTGTAATTTATGATTTATGACAATAGGACAAGTGGATCATTCCTTTTGTAATTGTCGATCATTTTCTTTATATGTAGGCCGGGATGCTATTCGACTGTCCAGATTGGACAAAATGGTTTTCTCAGGTAGCCCCACTCCTCAATCTTTTAATGTAGAGGTCTCATCTACAAAACAGTGAAGCTACGTCAAGAGATGCTATTTCATGGAAGCCAGTTACCAAAATAAGTTGATATGGTGTGGCAACTTGAATCAATATTCACTTTTTCTAAGGTTCTATTTTGCGTTTGACTAATATCGTTTCTAATCATCACGTTCATGTATATCTGATTGTTTCATTTTTTAAATCTCTTTTTTACTAATAGTATGATATGGATATATTATTGTCAAAAAATCAATGTGAATGTTTAAATGAAGATGATACACATTCACTTGCTCAATTATTAAATTCCTCTGAAAATAATAATCTCAAGGCATATCTACTGTCAGATACAGATGAACAGGTTAGTGTGCGTGTTTAATGTATATAAAGTTTTATCTATTTATTTATTTAAACACATAAACAAGGAGGCACCAAACAGATATGCACCACACTCCGTCATTCGATTTGTGTGAGGGCTGGGATACTGCCTAGGTGCCCAAACCGAAATAGGTAGATTTCTTATGGGACGACACTCGGAGCCTTCGACGTAAAGGTCTAAGCAACGTAAGGAGATGCAGTCCCATGGTAGCCGGTGACCAGTAATTGGTTCATACGCCATTTGTTCCTTCAGGATCCTGGAGTCCATGTGCACCATTGGTTTGGTATGAGGGTTTTCCAACTCCCCTAGATGGATCCTCCATATCCACTTACCCGGTTAAAGCTCCGGACATTCTCTTTTCTTCCTCTCAATTTCGTAAACAACACCTGTGGTGTGAGGAGGCAGTGAGTTGGACTTCCCTGGTAGTGGCTCTGCCCCCAAATGCCCTGGTACGGCCGAGAGTGGGAAGAGTCCGCTCTCCCTCTCGAAATGCCCTCACATGGCCACGTGCATAGAGCCACTGCTAGGGAAGTCCCACTCACTGTCTTCTCGAGATGGGAGTGTTGTTTGCGAAATTGACAGGACGAAAAGCTAATGTCCGACGCTCTAACCTGGTTGGTGAAAACCAGAGAGTCTACCTTAGGGAGTTGGAAAACCCTGATTCCAAACCAATGATGCACATGGACTCCAGTATCCTGAAGGAACAAATGCTGCATGAATCAAGTTGTTGCTTCAGGACTGGCCTGCGTCAACACCTGAACTAAGGATAGGGAGTGAAGTTGTCGAACGCGTCGACAACTTCACTTATCTTGGAAGTTTGATCAGCCCTAATGGGTTGGTGTCTGATGAAATCTGTGGCGGATTCAGAAAGCTCATTTGGCTTTTGCCAACTTACATCACCGACTTTGAAGGCGAGATATTCGTCTATCAATTAAGGGGCGAGTATACTGCGCAGCAGTTAGTTCTGTTCTACTATACGACTGCGAAACTTGGCCATTAAGAGTAGAAGATACTCGTAAGTTACTACTATTTGGTCACAGATGTCTTAGAAATAGTGCTCGCATTTGCTGTGATCACCGAGTAAGTAATGCTGGGGTTATACGTAAGGCATCAAGAAATGACGGTAAATCAGTTGATCAGGTTGTAAATCTTCATCGACTGAGATGTTTGGACCACGTGTTTTGTATGCCTGAACACCGATTACCATGATGCACAATGCTAACTAGTGTTAGAGATGGTTGGAAGAAAGTTAGGGAAGACCAAACCAAAACGCGGCACCGGTCGGTGTATACACTCTCTGTCCTCCATTAAACTGTGGGATTAAAATCGCTTCATATCTTTCTTTCTACGAACTACTTCTTCCTGTACAATGTCCTTATATGTATCTTTCTTTTATATATTACCATCACTGAAATAACTACTTTTATGAATTCGGTGTTTATCTTTTTATGCTAATGAGGTATGGTAACCTGGACCGATGCACATATGTGCCTGGTTCTACGTTGTACCTGACTGACTGACTGATACCGGCTACCATGGGATTACATCTCCTTACGTTGATCTACTGACTTGTGGATTAGACTTTTAGATCAAAATCTCCAGATGTGGTCCCCTAAGAAAACCACCTGTTTCGTTTTGGGTACCCGGGCAGTATCCCAGCCCTCACACAAATCGAATGACGGTGTGGTGCATATCTATTTGGTGCCTCCTTGTACCAATGTTTATGTGTTTAAATAAATAAAATATCTACGTACAATACTTGATGTCAAGTAATCGAATGCAATTGACAGGAAACCTTGGTGGATATAGATTTTGTATTATTTTGTATTTGTCAACAAGATGTACCAAAAATCGTAAGAAAAACTGATTTAGCACCATTTTCTATTTATTTATTTGCTTGAACACATAAATATTGGTTCAAGAGGGTACCAAACATACATGCGCCACACACAACAATGAGAATTCGAAGAAAAAAGGACAACAACGAACGGATTAGTGTAAGGTAGTGTGATAATAATAATAGTAATAATGGGGGAAACGAAAAGGTACAATCAGAAGAAATCTTTCAGTTAAGGAAGAAACAACCATTTTTTATGAAGAAAGTAAAAGAAGGTTACAGCAGGATCGCCACTGGCTTCTATTCTGAGCCATATCTGATAACATCTCTAGGACCCCAGCTTGGGAGTCGTGAAGGAGCAACAGAAGCCAGCCCTTTGCAGCTTTCTTTCATACCACGACAACATGTCATACACTGACCACCTCTCCGCTTTTTCCAACCAGTCCCAGCGTCGGCAAATAATGCACGACGTGGAATTCTCTGACACGACATTCGGAGAACATGTCCAAGTCACCAAAGTCGGTGTTTAGCACCATAGAACTAGAACCTAACATAATTCAACTTCACAGTCTACAACCTTACCACTAAACTCTTCAGTTGGCAATTAATTTAATTTAGAACTGAAATCTTATGTGTAGTAACTAATAAATCATGTATACCGATGGATTTTATATTGAAGTTAATCGACTTGTGTCAATATTGTTGTCATAATGATGTCTTATATGACTAATTCCTTCTATTTTTTCTTTCTTAAAGCTTATTATATACATTACCTTCTCACAATTTGTTCGTATTCAATCTGTACAGATTAATGGACCTAAAGGTACATTTGATTTTTGTCATTATTATCATTATTATTAGTAATTAGATATATGTAATTATCCATTTTTTTAGATGTGTTCAATTGTTATTAATATGATTCTTATCTCTGCTATAGAAGTAAAAGGGTGATTGTCACTTCTTGGTTATTCAACCTGTAGGAGTATACTTCTTCTTAAGGAGAGAAACTTGGATTAGAAGTGATTTTGTTGATACAGGAGTTTTGATTGTAAAGTTCAAGGGGGAAACTGTTTGAAGTCGATGAAATATGAGTTTTGTTAATTAGTTTTGTGTTTAAAATGCCTTACCACGAGAGACGAAAATTAATGGAATCAAGTGAGATGTGTTATATTTAGGGTTAATCTTTTCATTTCTATGTAGGAAAACAAATGCTGATTACATAAAGGTAACATTATTTCCGTGATAGCCGAAGATAATTGACCATGAGTTAGCGTACTTTTGTCACAGGAGGTTGTGAAAGAGGGGAACACTGAATAAATCTACACACATTATGTGACAACACGAAATATTATACTGTACAATCTATCCATAGTCTTTGGCGATTAATTTTGTGTAAAAGAAGGTGTATCGTGATCAGTTGAAATTTTCAGGTCGGTCAGACCATGCAGAAATATTTCTTCTTGAGAGAGAGATATGAACAACAAATTGAGAATCTTTTCAATCTTTTATGTTTAAACCTACTACCTAATAGACTTGTTTTACCAAACGTTTTTTCTTGAACTTCTTGCATAATATTACCTGGAGTGAAAATCTATGAGGCAAGGGGGTTATGTATGTGTGTTGTTTTTCGGGCTGATCTTATGATTATTTGCAGTAAAAATCTTCCTGCCTTTCTGAGTAGTGTCATTCAATCAGAAAAAATGATCTCTGAACTGTGCAAATATCTTCAAATTATATTCTTAGTGATGAATTATCTCTAATTGATCAAAGAAACGAGGGTACCACTAAACGAACAATGTGTTTAATGCCATTGTTTTCATTCTTTTCGGACGATTTCTCTTATGGGAGTTTGTGTGTATATGTGTGTGTGCAATTAGTACGTCACTCTAAGAGTTGAAACTGATTTTGTAAATGTCTACACACTATAATTTTAGTCCATAGGATTAACTTTAATAATATTGAAACCACAAACTGTTCTTAGCTAAGACCACCATTGTAAATCAAAAGACACATGTTGTGCAATATCGTTGATCGATTTTAGTTAGACATGTACATCACCGGAGGTTGACTCAGTAATCTAGATAATAAGCACCCACCACGAGACCTCAAGGTCCTGTGTTCGATGTCTGTTCACTGTTGAGGAGTCCCATGCTGGGATGAAATAACTGTCAAATACTTCCTAGTTTTCAATTTTGGTTTAGCTAAGATCTGTTCGTAGTCTGGTCTATGAAAGTTCTACTTTCTCCATCAACCGCCATTGGTAATATTGAAATCATTCAGAAATATTTCAATATTATCTAAATAGAAATGGAAGGTTAGGACAGAATTTGATCTAGCTTTCAACACTATTCTCCTGTAAATTAAAAAAAACATGAAATAAGAAAAGAGTTTTTACATCATATAAACTCATGTTGTCTTTATCATTCCTACACTTATCAAATCTAACTTATTACACATCTGTCTGTTTGTTATCTTTTGTCAGTTCATTGACTCGACAACGAACAATTGCACCGTACATAATAAGAACTTTGATTCAGTTCACACGTGAGACTAAAGGTCCTGAATTCGATCCCCTGTTGTGGGTTGGATAGTCTCATACTAGGATGAAACAGCTATCCTAGAGCTTCCAGACTTTTTAGTGATTGTCTAACTGAATTCATTTCGTGATCTCAGTTAAATACTAAATTAACATTTCCATTCTATATTGTACCTTGAATAATTTGTCATATTTTTTTCTTCTAGAGAATGCACCAAAAACAGTAAAACTATTTATTAATCAAACATCAACACCTGATTTCGATAGTTGTGAAATTGGTGAAGCTGTACAAACATTAGAGTAAGTTCTTGTTTGTTTATAATCTGCATTTATTTTTTCGAAAGTATGTGGTCTTCAGAGTTCAACACTAATGAAAGTAGATCATTCGATTCATGTTATGTTTACTAGTGGAGATTGAGTTTCTTCTTCGATAGGGCTGATTATCACCTGTCCGTGTAATGAGTTCCAGTTGTTGGTTAGTCATCGAGAACAATGGAATTCCATTCTGAGTTTGTTTAATCATGGTTGTTGGATATGTTTCTTTTGTGATGACCTTTCGAAATGATTAGTCCTAAAGGGAGGAAAACAATAGGATATGCTAGTAGTAGTACCCTCAAAATACTTCAGATCCGTTGGCCGGACACTATTAGTAACAACGTACTGTGGGAGAGAACAAACCAGATCCCAGCGGAGGAAGAAATCAGGAAGAAGCACTGGAAGTGGATAAGACACACATTGAGGAAAGCACCCAACTGCGTCACAAGACAAGCCCTCACATGGAATCCTCAAGGCCAAAGGAAAAGAGGAAGACCAAATAACACACTACGCCGAGAAATGGAAATAGACATGAGAAAAATGAACAAGAATTGGATAGAACTTGAAAAGAAGGCCCAGGACAGAGCGGGTTGGAGAATGCTGGTCGTCGGCCTATGCTCCATTGTGAGTAACAGGCGTAAGTAAGTAGTAGTACCCTAGCTGTATTCAAGATATACAGGATCCTTATGTGAAATCCTCTCAGATTGTACAACAAAATAGGGAAAATAAATCTGATCGTTTCAGTTGTTCCTCGTACGGCAGTTTTGAAAATCCTCTTACCAAATTAGTGGCTACTCTTCAGACACACTCGTGATAAGTGTTTTCTTCTAGGAAACTATTTGATATATAGTTAGTATATAATCTCTCCAATTAGTTGTTAATTATGGACACATAACATTGTATCCTTCGACGCTGAACACTTTGAGTCACTCTGAGTTTGGGAATGACTACTTTTTTTTAGTTTAGTCACTCATCAATGAAAGTTATGGTTTCCATAAAATTACATAATCTACTCAGTAATATGTAACACAATGTATTTGAACATTGTCGATAATTTATGTTGGTTTGTAATTCAATCAATAACTATATTATATCATCCATAATATAGTTAGTAGATGCAGACTACTTGGTTGGGGTCCGCGTGACTGTCTTAACGAATGGTTGGAGACTCGGTGACGTGGCTCAGAATCGATCACAATCGCATAGGTGTATACACTCTCTGTCTTCCTTTAAACTATGAGATTAAAATCGCTCCATATCTTTCTTTCTACGAACTAATCCTTATACCCAATCTTTCTTTTATATATTACAACCACTGAACTAACTAATTCTATGAATCCGGTGTTCATATTCCTGTGCTAATACGGTATGGCAACTTGGACCGATGCATATGTATGCCTGGTCCTACTTTGTAACCGACTGACCGATTATGTCATCCTACCTACTCAATAAACTTAGATTGATCTACCTTTAAATTTTGTAAGACCTTTGCTTGTGTAATTTATCAAATAGACTCATATTTATTATAAAATACAGGCTAGTTCTAACCATTGAGATTAGATGGCAGTTGGAGGTAGTCGACAGGAAACCCTGGACGCGGGTTTCGTGCTACTTCGCAATCGTCAGCAAGGTGTACCTGTAATTTTGAGGGAACTGGTGCTCCCTGGCGGATTCGATCCCGTGTCACACAGCTTCATAGTCAGAGACGTTACCACTGAGCTATCCAATCACCATCTAATCTCAATATGTAGTGCCCGCAGTGTCGAGTCACCTAGACTGGTGGCCACATTGCAACATGGTCGATAGCATTCGATCTGCACTAACAAGGACTAAATACGCATGAAATTGATCGCCATCCAGTGATCAATCAATTATGATTAGTCCTAACCATTGTCTAATTAATTCTGATTTTATTTACTTTAATTCACATAAAACCTGATACAATTTTGGCATCAACATTCATATTGTCGATATAAAATAAAGAGATAATTTTGTAAAGAAAAAAAAATTAACAGAAGCAGGCGGAGGGAGTACAATCAAAAATGTGAACTAGAATAGTGTATAACAGGCTATACAATTCAATCTTCTTTCATTTTAAGAGATATCCCTCTCATGCTTTTATGAAAAACTTAGAAAACAACTACAAAAGAAAAAAACGCTGTCAATGGCTTCTATTTTATATTGTGTCTTGTAAAATTTCAAGTCATTATATCGAACAATTTCTACAACCTCCTCATCTGTTGAGTTGTAATGGACTGACTAATGTATATTTATACAGCTTTCTTTTCATATTACCCCCACTATATCAGTAATTAACTGACCATCTATCTACTCTTCACATTCAATTCTCAGCATGATGCAACAAAGTTCACTGGGATAACATTCTGAAAACACTTCCAAACGATAATACCTATCAATTAATTAAGAAAATAAAACATGCATAATGCATATTTTATTCACCACTCTACTACTTGGACATGAAAAGTTAACTCATAGTATAAAAAACAAGATTCTGTGTAAGGAAATACAAAAAATGAATAAAGATTATGATGTAATCGAAAAATCATAATAATCTGTATCATAATGTAAATAATATATGTTATGTCCGAGGGATTACGGTATCACCGAGGACCAGTGAACTAAATGAAAGTCGACAACAGGACAAGCTAACTATCCCACTGCGCCCCAACCCTGCTAAATAGAGGGAGAGGACCAGATTCAGCTTGAAAAATAAAATATTCCGCAAGTAGTCAGAAGCGCGAACGAAATAAGCACACAACTCATGAGCATGTATGTGACACAAAAATGTCTTCGGGGAACGTCAAAAAATAGTATACTAAAAGAGAAAACGAACAAATGACACTTGAAGTCCTTCCAATTAAGAAATATAGACAGGAGTTGAAAAATTGGGCTCTTTGGGCGCGAAGATGAGAGATTCGAATTCTCATAATAAAATTACAAAAATGTGACTTTTATCAAGTTGTTTCTGGAGATCTATCATCCCCAACATAACAACTATGACAGACGATTTAACTTCTACAGGATATTTACAGCTTCACAATAAATTCTCAGTGAAGGCTTGTGGAGATTGTTAACTTTCATTGTAATCATGAATCGATCTAAGTTTAATCATCATTGAAAACGTGAAATCACTGGACAGTTCTATTATGGAACTCCTCAACAGTGCGTATCCACAAGTTCTCAAGGGCGAATCGAATAAGTGGTAATACTCTATACACTTAATGAGATGTAAAAACAAGAGATAAGTTCAACCATGAGTCAGTCCGCTTCTAAGTGAATTCATTTTTGACTCAGTACAATTGAAAATGTACACTTAATGTTTGATATGATCACCAACAATTTGTCTATCCCAACGTGAACATCCAGCTGACGAGCCCTAAATAAGACGTAACGCGCGCCCTGGATTCCACTGTTAACCAACCATCCATCTTTGCTTATAATAATAATTTGTATATAGTTTTATTCATTAGTTTCATTTGTAATTCTTAACGTATAAAGTCCATCTTTATCATTTGCATCACTTTGACTCATTTGACATTCATCGAGTACATTCTGGCTCTATCCCTTAGTGTGTGCGTGTATGTGTGTGAACTGATGTGAAATCTAACAATTGGAACTGATGTTGATTTGTTCCAGGACTTAGTTTGTTTATCACTATAAACATTTGTTGAGTCTACCAAAACGTCTACGTCATCCAGTTGAGATACGCGCAAAATCGAAGTTTGCAAAACAATGACGATTTGTCTGAAACAGCAGTTCTTTATTGAATAATATACAAACATTAATTACAAACCTCAATTTTTGAGGTGTCTACGCCGTTCACTCCGTCTCTTTGTCTGAAATAAATAAGGGTATCTTGTAACAATAATATAAAGAATAATTACAACATCTGATAGTGCAAAAGACAACTGTTTCTCTAAACTTGGTAACAGTTTATCAACAAGCAAACTTCGAAACTAAAGAGCAAAGAGTATAGAAACCATTGCATTTAAACAAAGGTTAAACGACTGCAAAAAAATCGCGAATCACTGCTACAATGATTGAGATAAAGTAATTATTTATGATAAATACAATTAATGTTATAAATATATGTAAATATTTCAAGATTATTACACGACAACGCTGCGTTGCGTTACAACATAAACGCAGAAATTACTAGGAATACAACTATTTACTGATTATTAATAAGTAGTATAAAATAATACGCAAAAGAGTCGAAGGGAAGTAAATCAGAACAGAGAATATAAAACAAACATTGTTGAAATGAACTAATGTTTGAACTGTACAGTATATCACCGTTGCGTATTACTAAATAGGCGAAATTAACTTGACGATATTTTTGTAACCTTCAATACTCGAATTGTGTAAACCTTTGTATGATTGTTTCACTTAGTTATGATTCCATATTACTCGTTTCATTATATAAAATATGAAATAGTGTAACTCACTTTTGAAACATACAATTATGTATTGTCTCTTTTTCGAAGAATTTTCGCTCATCTTGTTTCTTTTATTTACTCTGTTGTGCACATTGGAACTAAGGTTGAGTTATTCATGAATTATTAACTTATTTAATTAAACACATAAACATTGGTACAAGGAATTACCAAATAGATATGCACCACACTTCGTCATTCGATTTGTGTGAGGGCTGGGATACTGCCTAGGTGCCCAAACCGAAATAGGTAGATTTCTTATGGGACGACACTCGGAGCCTTCGACGTAAAGGTCTAAGCAACGTAAGGAGATGCAGTCCCATGGTAGCCGGTGACCAGTAATTGGTTCATACGCCATTTGTTCCTTCAGGATCCTGGAGTCCATGTGCACCATTGGTTTGGTATGAGGATTTTCCAACCCGCCTAGATGGATCCTCCATGTTCAGCAACCCGGCTAGAGCGCTGGACATTCGCTTTTCTTCCTCTGAATTTCGTAAACAACACCTGTGGTGTGAGAAGGGGTTCCCTATCAGTGGTTGTACGCACCCGGACATGTTTGAGGATTTTGAGAGGGAGAACGGACTCTTCCTACTCACGGCAGTGACAGGGCATTTGGGTGTGTTAATCATCATGAAAATGTGTCAAATGTTTTCGACTCACCAATTGTCTTCAAAATAAAAAGCATCTTTTCATTTATGTAACTAAAACAGTTGTCTTCTACACTTAACAATTCAATGTTTCTTTTTACACTTGATCTAAACGGCAAATACTGGATTATGTCGTCACAATTGTTTCATGAATTAACCGACTCTTACTTAGTGATCTTAAAGGTACTGCATTTACTCACTTTCAATTCATCTGAATTTGTGGCTTGATGAAGTTTCGGTTGCTCATTTGTTAAAGAAAGTTCGAGTTATTTAGTTGTCTTTTTTATTACTATCAATGTTAGTACCTCCTTAAGAGCATATTCTTGTTTTACTAATTCCTATTTCCTCGATGTGTTTTTCGATTGTCTGATTGATTATTATCACTTTTGGTTTGTTAATTTCATTATTCCAAGTTCATTTCACTTTTCGAATTCTCTTCAGAATGCAGAAGTCTTTTCTTTTTTATTTCATATTAACCTATAAATGATTAACGTTAAAGTATTATTGTTTGTTAGAGGTTCGGCCTATTTGAGTTCCCAATATTTGTATTCACATTAGATTTCTTAATCGTTCTTACGTAGAATTTATTGTAGGCTGACTAGCAACCCTAATGCCCTGGTATAGCCGAGAATGGAGAGAGTCAGCCCTCCCTCTAAAAATGCTCTCAAGTGGCCATGTGCATACAAACACTGACAGGGAAGTCCTACTCACTGCCTTCTCACACCACAGGTGTTGTTTACGAAATTCAGAGGAAGAAAAGCGAATGTCCGGTGTTTTAACCGGGTTGGTGGATATGGAGGATCCATCTAGGAGAGTTGGAAAACCCTCATTCCAAACCAATGGTGCACATGGACTCCAGGATCCTGAAGGAACAAATGGCGTATGAACCAATTACTGGTCACCGGCTACCATGGGACTGGATCTCCTTACGCTGCTCCACCGCCTTGTGGATTAGACCTTTAGGTCAAAGGCTCAGAGTGTCGTCCCCTAAGTAAACTACCTGCTTCGGTTTGGGCACCCGGGCAGTATCCCAGCCCCCACACAGATCGAATGACGGAGTGTGATGCATGTCTGTTTGGTGCCTCCTTGTACCAATGTTTATGTATTTAAATAAATAAATAAATAGGCAACCCTAATACGCAACCGTTTTTTTATTAATCAACATCTAATAGCATTGTATTGATTATATCTTATACATTCTATTTACAATGTAATGTAATTTTCACTTTTAATCCTTGGCAAATATGAACTATATTTCCCCCCCCTAACTATTTCTATTCTAAACACAAAAACTAATTTTTTTTCTTCTTCCTTGTCACATATTTATTCTCTCTTCTTTACTTTAAGATTAACAGAAGAGGATATTAAACATGGTGGTATAACACAATTGAATTTTGTAAAATTTCAGAATGTTAGTACACTTACAGTAAGTGATCAATCTATTCATTGGTATATATATATATATATACGTATATTATTATTGTTTATTAAGTCTGTGTGTGAAATCTTCTTGTTGTCTCAATAAGCAAACTGTAAAAAATCGGACTTAGTTATTTAAACTTATAAACATTGGTATTAAAGGGCATCAAATTATGTATGTGAAGGGCTGCAATACTGACCGGTTGCTCAAACGAAAACAGGTGGTTTTCTTTGGAGACCACTCCTTGAGCATTTTACTCAGAAATTTAATCTATGAGGCAGTGAAACAACGTTAAGAGATGAAATCTCATGGTAGCCAGCAGCCAAAAATAGGTTGGTACGTCATTTGTTCTCTCAGAATCGTGGAGTCGATTGGTTTGGAATCATGGTTTTCCAACTCTCCTAGTTTTGTAGAATGTCCGTGTCCTCCATACGGTTTAATCACCGGACATTCATTTTTCATCCTCAATTTTGTAAAGAATTTCCTGTATACTAGAAAGCTCCAAGTAGAAGTCACTGGTCAGTGGCTATTTACGCATAGTCATGTGAGAGCAGTTCAAGAGGGAGTGAACTTTTTCGATTTTTAGACATAGCACGGCATTCGAAGTCTACTAGACAATGGCTTGTTGAGGATCTATTTGACACTCAAGATAAATTAAAATGAACCTCTGAATATACTGATCTTTATGCAACTTATTTACAGTCAGTTTTCATTGAAAGTCAGAATTGTATGATATAAATTAGATAGTATTTAACATAAGTTAATTGATAACTTCCCATGTAAATACATATTTACCATTATCATACAATCTATATAATGAATCCTTTTTAAAATGGGATTATGTCATGTCAAAGATGTTTGGTTAAAGAAATCAACTTTATATGTCATTCACTCTTTAATCAATAAAATCTTTGTTGACATTAGCTGCCTCATTTTAGTATAAGACCCCTTCATCGATACACATCTACAACTATGTTTTGTGATCCTCAACCCCTATGACCTTCAGGTATCATTTAGTCAACTAAATTGAAATATCACTTCTAGATTAAATCAATTTGTCATCAATAATACACAATGATCGTCAAATGCCATAAATTACACACTGATTCACTAACTCCTATTCGATTCCCATTCTCGCTCTCTCCCTCTCCTTCTCTACAACGTTAAAACTTTTCATTCATAGAACTTGTGAAAAAGTTCCAAGTAAAATCAGTAATGAATAAAACTTATATATTAAATGGATCTCCATCATAACTTCTACATCATTTAAGATATATATACTACTTACAAATTCAGAATAAAGTATATCAATTATATAATGTTAAATGAATTCCATGTATAAAGTTAAATGAATATGATGAGAAAAGAGAGTATAATTTTCGGTGAGACTATAAATTGATGGACGACCTTTGAGCAACTCCAAATTGACCTTGAGAATATCCACTTACTAAGTCGGATTGAATGACGGTTATAAAATAGTGTCAATCAGTTATTTACAGCGCAGGATCAGGCATATATGTGCATGGGTCCAAGTTGCTACACCTCATTAACACAAAAATCATAGAAGTAGTCACTTCAATTGTGGTAATATATAAGGATATAGTACAGGAAAAAAGAATTAGTTGGTGCAAACAAAGAAATACACCAGTTTTAATCTTACGGTTTAAAGGAAGACAAAGAGTGTATACACCTACACCTTTGTGGTCGATTCTGAGCCATGTCACTCAAAGTGTGCAACCACTGGTAACGATAATCGCACTGACCCCAAACAGGTAGTCTGCACTTACCAACATGGCTCAGACCAAAAGTTAGTGACATCAAGCATTGATGCCACGTTTTGGTTTGACCATCCCTAACTTTCTTTCAACCATCCTCCAACACTAGTTAACATTGCGCATCATGGTAATCGGTGTTCAGTTCACAGTTGATGATTAGGCTTAGTAATTAGATTTAAGGTTTTCATCACGAACTGACATCGGTCAAAATGCTAAAAAGCTATTTGGCCAAATGAATGAATCAATCATCGAGCCAAAATCCAAGATGTTTTATCTATCTTATATCTGATTGGTTCGTGCATTAATTATAATCATGCCTAATTTCGTTTTTTTGTACAATCCTTACTCTAAACTCCTTACTTCTCCCTCCTTCTATACTTCCTGTTGTTGTTGATTGTATTTTGTCATAGATTTTTGTGAAAAATAATCAAACATCAACTGATCAAACTCGAATTGATACATTGAAATTCTATGGTTATCCAGTGAATACAATCAATATGAATGAATTTAAAAGGGTTAGTTCAGTATTATTATCATTATTACTATATATATGTGCGTATAAATTCAATAACTGACTACTGATTAATGTAAATGATATAATAATTGAGAATGTATACAATTCTTTGGACAGCCTAGTAGTATACTCAACTTCAAGCTATAAGTTCAATGGTTAACACTGTAATCAAGGACGTGCATTTCGTCTTACTTCAGATTCATCAATTAGATATTCCTTCGTCCCAAAGTGGTTGATTTTTCTACTGGTGAAAATTTCGAAGTATCTTTGAAAGTCAATTAGAATTTTAAGTTTCAAAGGACTAGATTCAAACTTACACACATAATGTAGAAAATTGTAATGGAATTTTTAAAATGTCAATATCTCAGTTCTACCGCTCAGTGTTAACATTAAAGACTGTAAAGATTGTTGACGCTGATTTAGATCGCACAAAAAGCGTCAGTTGCTCCAAGACTGGTTACGCCTTGTTGACAAGTGCTGACTAGCAAAATGCCCCTAGTTCAAGCAAACATTTGTTCCGACCCTCTTTAACCACCGAATATAATACCGCTAGTCCATTTTTCTAATCTGCATTGATCATGAATGCGCATTTCTGAGGAGTCCCCCATACCGAACGAAACGGCTGTCCAGTACTCCTAGGTTTCCGATAGTGGTATAACATTGATCAATTCCTGATCTCAATTAAAGTTACTCATTAACAAGACTCGAGTTTTGTTTACTCAATGCATTTTTGATGTGATCAAGTGGATTTTGATATACTAAATGGCCATGTGAGAGCATTTGAAAAAGGATGGCTGATTTAACCCACCGTCGATCATACCAGGACATTTGTCACATACATATGTGTTCCTTAAAGAAATTTTACTCATGATTTACCTATCTAGATTGGTTTGTAAAAAAATTGTAGTTGACTAATGTCATTCATTAAGGTTGTAAGGGGGGATCCAAGGCTCAGAAATGTCAAATTGTCTAAAACAATATCCAACTAATTTGAGAAAGTTAATTTATTCACATAGAAAAAGCACTTGATCCTTAAATCTTACTGAATCATATATATGAACCTTTCAGGTTTGTATCACTAGCCCTGCTTCAGTTTGGGCACCCGGGCAGTATCACAGCCCTCACACATATTGAATGAGATTTGTGTGGCTCATATGTATTTAGTGCCTCCTTGTACCAATATCTATGTGTTAAAATAAATAAATAAATGGTGGTTCCAAGCTGAGTAAATTAAGAATTGGATTTTGTCAGTGTTATAGATTTACAGTCATTGAAAAACATTAAGTGAATTTGTTTTTCTATAAACCGTTATGGATTACGGTTTGTTCGTATCTATATATCCATACGCACATCACAAGTTACATTCATAAACGTACTTGCTGGGACATAAATCACTATGAATCAGAGTTCAATGGGAATAATCTTTGTATATTTTAAAAATGCCCTAGTTTGGTTTAGGTTGCCTTCTATTCAATACTTCGTCAGTTTCACATCATCCATATCGTCTGTACAGTTGTCTTATGGATACAAGCAGATTTTAATAGTTTTTACTCAAAGACGGAAGAATATAGTCAACTTGTTCGATGTCTCTAACAGCTGCTACAATTTTTATTGATGTCATGTTTTGCTTGTTTTTTTGGGGGGGGGGTGATTAAGAACAATCATACCTTAGATAATTTTGATGTGATTGAATTCTTTGTGGTTAGTGGATTAATCATGAAGTGGTGATAATTCGTTTAAAAATCATCAGTACAATTGTGGTGTGAGCTACTTATATTGATATAAGTAGTATATAACGTGTGTTAAAAGAACGTAATGTCCGGCAGCAGATGGCGAAGATCAAGAAAGGAAGAGCAAGAGCAGAATGGAATTGTAAGAAAACGCATGTACAATGGAATGGGAGACAATGGATTAGTGTTTGCAACGGGAACAGTACAGTTTGATATGATGGAATGATATTTTGCAAATTGACGATTGACTTTATGGTATTCACATTTTATTGAGATAGTCTGTAATCTTTGTGCTAAATACAATCGATTGTCCCCACCCGTGTTCTTCACTACACAATGATCTATGAGAGTTGGTACTTTTCCAAAGACTTACATAAATAGTGGAAAGATTTGCAGACTGGTAACAAAGTCAATACGACTATTGACCTATATATATATATATATATATATATATATATATATATATATATATATATATATATATATATATATATATATATATATATATATATATATATATATATATATATATATATATATATATATATATGATAATGTTAAATTCTATTTATATCTATGTATTTAATAAACCTTAGGTCTCTGGGAAGAAAGGTGAAGCCCACGGTTAACCTATTACCAAAATAAAAACTATACTTCCTTATCATTATTGGAAAAAACTATCTGGGAAAATGTAAACAATTATACAAATGTATTTCTGCTCACTTCTTTTATCTTTGTGTGTGTTTGAACATTCTACATGCATGATTAACTCGTTAATTTCGCTTTTTATTCTACCACCTTGTAACTTGGATTCTTGGTTGTTGTTTTTCCTAAAATATACAAAAACCTTGAAGTCGATTATAATCTTCTTTTGTTAATTTCTTACATGTCAGTCAATCAGCAACAACGTAGAACTTCGTACTTACGTACATTAGTTCAAGTTGCCACACCACATTAGCACAGAGATACAGTTATCAATCCAAATCCCATAGTGGTAGAGGTAATAAGAGTATAAGCAGTAAACGGAAAGATTAGGGTTTGAAGATGTTATTCAAGAAGTATAATCCAGTGAAATAAATTTGGAAAGAGAAAAAACAAGGGACATGAAGAATTCAGAAGATTAGAATTTGGAAGAACACAAAGAGTGAATGCACCTGCGCCATTGCAAACGATTTTGAGTCATGTCATTCAGAGTCTCTAACCATCGGTTGCTATCATCTCGCGGTCCCCGACCAGGTAGTCTACACCTATCAACATGGCTCAGTCCACTTGTCAGTGACTTCATGGACTTGTGCCACATTTTGGTCTGGCCGCTCCTAGCTTCATCCCAATCTACTCCTACACAATAAAACATCGCAGGTCGGGACAGTCGGCGGTTGGGCATACATAACACATGTCCCAGCCATCTCAACTGACGAAGTTTCACTACTTCATCAATCGAATTGCCATCCTTACCTTGTGCCCGTTTCCCAACAACCGCGTTACTTACTCGATGGTCCTAGGATATACGAGCAATGCATTGAAGACACCTATGATCGAATACTAGTAACCTACGAATATCCTCTACTTTTACCGTTCATGTTTCACTGCCATAAAGCAGGACGGAAATAACTGCTGAGCAGTAAACACGTCCTTTGGTTGGTAGACGGATATCTCGCCTACGCCGTAAATAACGTAGGTTGGTAAAAGCTAGTGGAACCTTCTGTATCCGTGCTGCGATTTTGCCACACACTAGGCCACAAGGGTTGATGAAACTCCCAAGATAAGTGAAGAGGTCAACACGCTCAACTACTTCACTGCCTATCATTAACTCAGGTGCAGATGCAACCCAATCGTGAAGCGACATTTTGCTTTTCAAGGGGAAGAATCGCATCTCTTACATGTAAGAATAGATCCTATGCTAGATAGCGCATTGCATTGGACACCACTATGTTAGCTGAATTCAACGCCTATCGAAGTAAGAGACAATACAATGACTTGACTTTGAGATAATTCCTTATGCTTCATATATTATTTACCCTGAGAATCGTTATTTAATAAATTCAGAAGGCAATACACGTTGCACCGACCACAGTTTATTTCTGTATCTTTTAGAACACGAAACTATAAGCACAACCAAAGGAATTTGATCAAGAGAACTAATTCATGTGAGCAAGTGGATTCAGAGTCAAATCGGATTCAGACAAAATAATTAATAAGATTAAAGCACATACATATATATGTAGGAAAGCGAATGATATTTAAACGACTAAACTATTTAAGCTAGAAAAAGAGATAATATGCGTCGTTTGTCATATATTTTTAAGTACACATGATCATACAAAATAATAGATGAATATGTTCACTGAAGAGTTTGACAAAAAAAATTAACCGTAAACAAACTTAATTGTATAAGAGAGGGTACTAATAACAGTAAAAACAATTAAAAGAAAGTATCCTATACATATTAAGTAATCAATAATAGTCAAATAGATCTGTAATCGATATTCATGTGTTCACGATTCACCAGATTAGAATTCTACTTATAATGTTTACTATTCTATGTCTATTTCATTTAATTGTAAATAGTGTCCGTAGGTATGGTATGTGCTTTGCACCTTCCAAGTGCAAAGTAATTCTTCAAGACTGGCAGGATTCCAATCTTGTACTCACCCTGGATGGTGAGCAGATAGACGTAGTCGAGAAGTTCGTGTATCTGGGTAGCTGCATAAGTGCTGGTGGGGGTGTGAGTGATGAGATCAATGCACGAATAGTGAAAGCCAGAGCGGCTTATGCCAATCTGGGCCACCTTTGGCGCCTTCGTGATGTTAGTTTGGCTGTTAAAGGTCGGATCTACAACGCGTCGGTGAGAGCAGTTTTGCTCCATGCTTGTGAAACCTAGTCTCTCCGAGTTGAGGACGTTAGACGACTCTCTGTGTTCGATCATCGCTGTCTCCGAAGGATTGCTGACATTCAGTGGCAACACCATGTCAGTAATGCAGAGGTTCGGCATCGTGTGTTCGGGCACAGAGATGATAATTCAATTGGTGTTACCATCTTGAAACACCGACTTCGGTGGCTTGGACATGTTCTACGAATGTCGTCCCAGAGAATTCCACGTCGTGGATTATTTACCGACTCTGGGACTGGTTGCAAGAAGCGGAGAGGTGGTGCTTGTGTTGGTCCTTCACGACTCCCTGGTTGGGGTCTGCGAGATGGTGCTACACAGTGGCTAGAGACGTTATCAGATATGGCTCAGAAAAGAAGCCAGTGGCGATCCTGCTGTAACCTTCTTTTACTTTCTTCATAAAAAGTGGTTGTGTCTCCCTTACCTGAAAGATTTCTTCTGATTGTACCTCGTTACTACCACACTACCTTACACCAATCTCTTCGTTATTGTTCTCTTTTTCTTCTGCGTTCCTTAGTTTTTTTTTTCTATTTCTCTTCGAATTCTCATTGTTTTGTGTGGCGCATATATATTGGCGCTCTCTTGTACCAATATTTATGTGTTCAAATAAATAAATAAAATAAATTGTAAATAGTATTACTAGACTTTAATCAATGAACATATCTAAGGGGAAAAGTGAATTTAACAAAGAATACTATTTTTTTCTTTTCTTTGGATGAAATCATTTACTTAAACTGTTCATTCATAAACTATTTCTCTTCTTTATCTTATTGGAATATTCAGAAAAATATCCCAAGAATAATTCTGTTAAATCTAATGTTATTCTTGAATGTGAAATGGTGTGATTTTCCTGTTAGCCAAATATTGTACAAATGTGTATTTTCTATTTTATTGGTACAATGTGGTCTGTTTGGCTGGTGTATATAAACTCAGTATGTTTGAAATACATGATTCATATTGCAGAGATTGTTGAGATTAGTCTTCTGGACTTAACTGGGTGGGCTAGGCACGAAGCATGGCCAATATGAACTCTAGACTACTCGTACGAGTTTTAGGCATCATTAATCCGATCGATAATTTATTGCTCTCTCTAAATGGCGGTATCATTAGGTTATACATTAACAGGGCACACAGGTCAGAATTACTTTATGGAATGATGGCCACATTTTGGTTTGACCCCCCCTCCTAACTTTCTTCTCAACCATCATTCAAAGACTATAGTTTCACTTTATAAACTAGATTAGAATTATAGTCAATGATCCAATTAATCTAATTAATACAACAAAAACAACTCAATGAAATCACAATTTATTCATCTTCTAATTATATTTAACGTATAACACATTAAAATTGTATCCATGAACAAGGAGAATCAAAACAAAACAAACAAACAAACATAAACAACTTGGAAAAACTTTAAATTGAATGACAAATAAGAAAAACAAAAACAAACAAAAGTATTTTAATAAAATATACAAACAGAAATGATGTAACTTACTGAGATGAAGTGAAATCTTGAATGAATATACCATTATTCATAATAATAATAATAATAATTTAGTTACTAACGGGATCTATTAAAAGCATAATCTTTAAATTAAACATAGAAATCAATCTCCCAACACATGCGAATGGGAATGAAATGGAGAGGTGGGGGGGGGGACAGGTGATGATGATAAAAAGTGAATGAATGAATGATTATGCAAATAAATAAGTAAAATAAACAAGTACACAAGAAACTTTGTATCCTTTTGAAATACATACATAATGTGAAAGTAGGTTTTCATCATCTAAGTTTCAATGGAATTATGCATTAATGAATTGAATTCTGTAAGAAAAAAATTGTGAAAAATATAAAAAGAAGCAAAAAACGAAATCATTGAAAAGAAAAAAAAGAAGTAAATTATGAATAAAGAAAAAACAACTCGTGAGATATTAGTGCTACACTCTTGATTATAGTCAGTCAGTCAGCTACAACGTAGGACCACCAGGCACATATATGCATCGGTCGAAGTTGCCATACCTCATTAACACAACAAGATGAATACGAGATTCAGAGAAGCAGTTATTTCAATGATAGTAATGTATAAGAGAAAGATTGCATATAACGATATAGTATAGGAAGAAAGAATTAGTTCATAGAAAGAAAGATATGAAGCGATTCTAATCTCTTAGTTTAAGGGAAGATAGAGAGTGTTGTATACACCTACGCCTTTATGTCGATTCTGAGCCATGTCACCCAAAGTCTCCAACCATTGGTTAAGATAGTCACGCGGACCCCAACCAAGTAGTCTGCATCTACCAACATGACTAACACTAGAAGTTAATGACTTCAAGGACTGGTGCCACGTTTTGGTTTGGCCGCCGACAACTTTCTTCCAACTATCTCCAATACCGGTTAGCATTGCACGTCGTGGTAATCGGTGTTCAGGTATACGCAACACGTGGCCCAAACATCTCAGTCGATAAAGATTAACAACCTCACCAACTCATTTACCATCATCATCCTCTAATACCCTGCGTCTAACCTCACTATTACTTACCCGGTGATCCCAGCAGACGCCATCAATATTTCTTAGGCATCTGTGGTCAAATACTAGTAGCTTACGAGTGTCTTCTACTCTTAATGGCCATGTATCGCTGTCGTAAATTAAAACGGAACGGACTGCCGCGCAGTATAATCGTCTCTCTTGATTATAGATTTATGAACTGACAAACACTCTAATTTATAAAATATTGAACAACTGTTTAGTTCTAGTATGAAACTATTCAGCAGTGAACACAAAGTATCTTGTTAGAGATAGAACAAACAGTCTTTAAGTGTTACAACAAGCGCAGAACCACTTAGCAGGTATTCTATCCGATATTAAGCGACCAAATTTCAATATCGTTTACAGGTAGGTAACTGTCTCACACAAAACATAGGTGAACTTCATTAGTCACGGCTTGTCACTAAGTCCAGGTAGTGATATAATCAAGCTTGTCACTGGTTTATGTCTCTCATCCTTTACAAAATAAAGTCATCCCTTGGCTAATCAGGTGAATTTTCCACTTTAATGATTCCTAACCGGCTTAATATAACAATATGTCTTTTTCAATTGAAGATTTCTAATATACTCACTGGATTGTTATATCAATTCATCTAATACCTATGGTCAGTTCGGATATTCATTCACAAATCACACATATACAGTTCAAACTTCATAGGATCACTGTAGTTTATACGTATAGTTTGTCAGAAATACACTTTTCATAATAGACAATTAATATGGCACATAGTCAATTGGATATTATTTACTATTTTAATAGGATTAGGCCAAACTAACACAGTTTATACATGTGAAATTTTTATCAACATCTGATGTTCAAGTGAAACGTGAAGAAGGCAAATAATCTGAGAGAAATTCCAGATCGACTTTAGGTTTGGTCAAAATACCAAAGAAGAAAGGAATCAAGTAGGTATTGATAGTGAATGTAATTTTTTGAAACAGAAGTAAACATTTGCATACACATTTGGCTCTGCTCCAGTTACATCTTGTCGAATGAGGTATAAAGATAGATATATAATATAACGATTGAGAAATAGGAAACTGAATTTCTCAACCATTCATACGATTATATAAATAGATGGAAATATACTTACCATGGTTGCCGATATTACAGATGAAGAGCTATATATATATATATAGAAGGGGAAAGGCGTAGTCAAATAGAGTTAAATTTAATCAGACCAACTGAGACTAGACAATGAACTCCAACTGCCACATCTTGGACCCATAAATCCACCACCCCAACCACCCAAACCACCGAATAGACGACTTGCCAAATAACCACCAGCTACTCCTGAAGCGAGACCTACACACAAATAAATAAGAATAACATGTAAACTATTCAGTAAAAATCTAGTTGGCTTTTTTGTGCCCGAAAAGAAAGATTTTTCATAAATATCATATTGTTAAACCTTTATTGGAAATTTCGGTTTGACAATCAGAAAAGCGAATCCATTTAGTCAATCAGAAAACATCATATATATATATATATATATATATATATATATATATATATATATATATATATATTACTTTAAATCGTTATTCAGAAACATAAATCGTATTGCTGACTTTAAGCTTATCATCAACGTTCAAAAGACAACATTCTATTGAGACATATGCGCTTCGAACTTGTAACAACTTCTTTGATGCACCCTTCTAAGTTAGCTTTATCAAAATTCATACAACTTTCGAAATAAACATAACTAACAATGGATCATGCTTTCACTTTGCTTAGTAAAATTCATTCTGGCCAGAGGTATTCGACTTGACGTAACCGTAGTTGTTACCTCGACGTGGTGATCTGGCTTATCTATCGTGATGAACCATTCGACCTATACTTTCTGCAGAACCTACATTATTTCTGAAGTTGGTCGGAGAACTATAAGATTAAAATTAGCAAACTTGTGGTCAAAGGGCGAAGTCATACTGTCGAATACTGTATAGGGATGTAACAGCAATAAGGTGCTTCTATCAAACAATTACCATACATTGTGATGCTGCCTTCTTATAAAGGAAAGGAGAGGTTATAAAAGGATGGCCTAGAAAATATCACAACTCAACTATATGACTTTCTGTCTCTGGTAGTAAGGTGGACAACTGTGGAACAACGTGAGTGGTGACACTTTTAGGGCCGGTCCTTTCTAACCCTTTCCTTTTATTGTGCGAAGGCGTGAATGTGCACTAACCCAAGTTCCCACAACAAACCAGAACAAGATGAGAATAATAAGATGAATACCAAATGAGATCTAAATAGTATACAAACAATGGAAATGAGAACGACCAAAGATTGGGAATATAGTCCAAGAAGATGAAATGAAAAAAAATATGTATGAAGGGAGATTAGAACTAAAGATCTAAATTAAGATGAATGGATTTGAGCGATTATGAAAGATCCTAAGTGAGATCATACAAAATCTGCAACCACTAATCCCAGTTACTTCATGGACATCTAACAATAGACGTGTCAAACAACTACCTCAATTGATGAAAACGCATAACCGCATCAACTGATCTAGTTACATTTATTCTTTATTATATCTCATAAATTCATACAGTTCTATGCTTTATTCAAATATATATTATTTTATTCAAAATATTATTTAGTCGAAATGCTCTCACATGGCCACGTGCATAAAACCACTGATAGGGAAGTCCTAATCACGCCTTCTCGCACCATGGATGTTGTTTATGAAATTGAGAGGATGAAAAGCGAATGTCCAGCGCTTTAAACGGGTTGGTGGACACAGAGAGTCTACATAGAGGAGTTGGAAAACCCTCATTCCAAAACCAATGGTACACATTATCTCCAGGATCCTGAAGGGACAAATGGCTACCATGGGACTGCATCTCTTGACGTTGCTCCACTACCTTGTGAATTAGATCTTTAGATCAAAGGCTCCGGGTGTGACCTCCTTGAGATAGTTGTTATGGGACTGAATAAAAAGCTTCTATTCATCTACACTATTTCATAATGTTAAATGATTACATAACACACACAATAATGAGATTAATAGATATTTTTATAAATAAAATTGTATTGTCTTATGATTCTCTGAATAATTTAGATGTTTACAAATTATATATTAATATTGTATTATATTTGATAATCTAAATAGGAATCAAGACGGTTGTTATTCTTCAGAACAATTAAATCAGTCATTTTTATCACTGTGAAAAAATATCAGTAAGTGAACATATGTAAGTAGATATATATGAATGAATTAAGATGAGTAGTAACCATGTGACCACCTAGTACACTCTTCAATATTGGATGACAACTAAGTTGTAACCAATGTCATATTTATTTGAAGGGGGGGGAGACTACAATTTGAATGTTTTCACTATTTTAGAATTCTTTCAAGTTTTCAGACTGATCAAAGTGATAATTCACTTATATCAATACATGAATCACAATGTTTCTTTAAATTAAACAATGATACGAGATGAATCAATTGCAGTCATTGTTTATTTAATTTTATTTAAACACATAAACATTGGTAAACGGAGGCATCAAATAGATATGCATCACACTTCATCATTCGACTTGTGTGAGAGCTGAAATACTTTGCGGGTACCTAAACTGAAGCAGGTGATTTTCTTAGGAAGCTACTTCTCGAACTTTTGACCTAGAGGTTTAATCCACAAAGAGATGTAGTCCCACGGTAGCCGATGACCAACAATAGGTTCGTACGTCATTTGTCCCCTTAGATTTCTGTAGACCATATGACGATTGGTTTGAAATAAGGGTTTTCCAACCCCCCTATGTGGACTCTCTGTGTCCAGCAACCATGTTAAAGTGCCGGACATTCGCTTTTCGTCCTCTCAATTTCATAAACAACAGCCCTTTCGCGAGAAGGCAGTGAGTAAAACGTCCCTATCAGTGGTTGTATGCACGTGGCCATATGAGAGCATTTCGAGAGGGAGAGCTGACTCTTGGTTGTACCAGGGCATTTGAGGGCTAAACCCCTCGTAAAAACATTTTTAATGTGACGACCAAGTGTACTCCGAATGCAAAAAACAATTGCTCTCAATTGTCTACAGCAACAACTCAGATAAATACAGACTGTCTAATTCCAGCACAAGTTACTACAACTTCCCCTATCTCTACTATGAAACCATTTCTACAAAACGATGTTCAACCTATGTCAAGTCTGAATACAGTAGGCTCATTCCCAAGATCTACTCCTCAACGTGGAACGTACAAATTTAAAGATACTGATGATAGTCATCCTATCACCACTACTACTACAAGTCGTCGTCGGACTAGACATTCTTCTGGATGCTCAATACTATAGGAGGAGGTTGGATAAAAGCTAGGAGCGGCCAGAACAAAACATGACACAAATCCATGAAGTCACTGACAAGTAGACTGAGTCATGTTGGTAGGTGTAGACTACCTGGTTGGGGACCGCGAGATGATAACAACCGATGGTTAGAGACCCTGAATGACATGACTCAAAATCGTTTGCAATGACGCAGGTGCATCCACTCTTTGTGTTCTTCCAAATTCTAATCTTCTGAATTCCTCATGTCCCTTTCTTTTTTTCTTTTTCCAAATTTATTTCACTGGATTATACTTCTTGAATAACAAACCCTAATCTTTCCGATTACTGCTTATACTTTTACTACCTCTACCACTACGGGATTTGAATCGACAACTGTATCTCTGTGCTAATGTGGTATGGCAACTTGAACTGATGTATGTATGTACGAAGTTCTAAGTTGTTACTGACTGACTGACTAACTGACTAGAGGGCTAAACATCAATGGGAAGAGTTAAACAAGTGTATATAGAAAAGGTTAGGTATTTATTCGAATACAAAAAGAAAACAAAGAGGAATGGAACAGTAGCAACCAATCAATCAATATATTGGATAAACAAAAAAAGAAAAAAAACCCATGTTATTATTAGTATTAATTCTATAAATAAATAATTGTTTATGATAAAAAAAATTTATATAGTCATAATAATATAGTTCTTGTTTTGATTATCTATTGTTGACCTTGAATGGTATTGATTATTTCTTTTGGCAATAAAAAAATAAATCGATTCATCTTTTAGGAATATAAAAGAACCAATTGATTTATACTTAGAAATCATTATATGTGAAGTACAAAACGTGATCGGAATTGTAAAATGTTATGATGATTGAAAATTTTAATAAGAAATAAATTGAAACCCAATTGGTATTATTAAATAAAAGCTACTTTACATTTTATTTTATACAAGATAGATGTTAGTCAACATTATGGACATGGTGACGAAGATCTGTAAGTTGAAAGTTGGTAGCCGGTAACCAACGATTGGTTCATACGCCATTTGTTCCTTTAGGATACTGGAGCCCATGTGCACCATTGATTGATTGATTGATTGATTGAGAGAGAGAGATGATTCTCCATACACTCAGCCGTACCAGGCCATTTGAGGGCTCTTTCACACAAAAAAACATCGCCTGCAAACATCATCGAAGAGTGGCATCGGTGGAGGACGAAACATCAAGCAGTTTGTACCATTCTATGATGATCAGATTAAAGGTCAATAAGTTTAAATAAGTTGATGCCTTGATGTCTTAGTCTGCCTCGTGTCACTAATTATTTTTTTTAAACTACTCTATTAAGTAAACCAGCATCGGATATCAGTGTAATAAAAAGATACAAAAATGATGGAATTAGTATCTGTAGTCGTGAAGTAAAAGTCTACACATTCTCTTTCAATGGAATAATTGAAAAAAGGAACTATCAACTCACACAACATCACTGAAAGCAATATTAATCATTACATAAAATGGAATTGGATTACAAAAAGAAATAAATCCAACTTACCAACTGCTGCATTTTTCAATCCTTTATATTTCTTCTTTTTCGGTTTACCATCTACATAGACCACTTGATATGGTTGGCCATTTTGCCCGACAAAATATTGACTTTGTGGATCTTGTGGACGTGGTTGATAACCACTATAAGAACTTGTCCCAGGCACATAAGCACCTGATGCTGGTGGTCGTGCAGGGGGTACTGTTGGTGGAACATAATTATTAGTTGGGTATCCATAATTGGGTTGACTAATCGGGGGAGGAGGCCCATAACCACCTATAAAATTCATAGATATTTATTAGTATGAGGGTTGTGAAAATTGTTGAATGTTAGTGCGAGATCACAAACAGATGTAAGTTGAACAACTATTCGAAAGCTGGAAGCACTCTGGACAACTGTTTACTCCCAATAAAGGGACCCTTCACCACTCGTCATGTACGACCCTAAACTACAAGATGTTCAATAATTACTTAAGTCAATTCGTGATCCCAAAAAGAATTTGTATATTAAATTTAAAAAAATAATCTAGGAGAAATTCACATACCAGGATTTCCACCATAAGCAGTTGGATCAGGCACTGAAAATTGAGAAAAGATGGAAGAAAACAATTACGGAAGTATATTTCAAGTTTAACTAACAATAGTATACAAATAAATCTATTAAAGAAAAAAATCAATAACTCGAACAGTGATTGACGAATTGATTTCGTGGATTAGTTGAAGTTAGACATTAACACCATTGGATGCCAGCCAGCTCAGTGGTCTCACCATTAAGCGTTCGAGCGCAAGATCGATAGGTCCTAGGTTCGAATCTCGCGTGGCGGGATCGTGGGTACTCACTGATGAGGAGTTTTTATTTATTTATTTAAACACATAAACATTGGTACAAGGAGGCACCAAATAGATATGCGCCACATAAATCATTCGATTTGTGTGAGGGCTGTGATACTGCTCGGGTGCCCAAACCGAAACAGGTGGTTTACTTAGGGGGCTACACCCCAAACCTTTGACCTTAAGGTCTGACCCACAAAGCAGTGGAGCATCGCGAGGAGATGCAGTCCCATGGTAGTCGGTGACCAATAATTTGTTTATACACCATTTGTTCCTTTAGGATACTGGAGCCCATGAGCACCACTGGTTTGGAATCCGGTTAAAGCACCGGACATTCACTTTTCATCCTCTGAATTTCGTAAACAACATCCCCGCCGCGAGAAGGCAGTGAGTAGGACTTCCCTGGCAGAGGCTGTATACGCGTGGCCGTGTGAGAGCATTTCGAGAGGGAAGGCGGGCCCACCCCACTCTCGGCCATACCAGGGCATTTTGGGGCACTGATGAAGAGTCCCACAATGGGATGAGACAACTGTCCAGTACTTAGTTGAACAGTTCAAAGAAGATTAATTTAAGCAAACAGTAAATGGATATAAATATCGATACATACACGCGTACATCTTTAGCTAAATAAAACAGAGCCATCACAACTAATGAGAAAGTAGTGTTACTAATTGTAAAAAATAATAAAGGATTACTACTGTGGATAGTTTAAGCATTGAATATTCAAACTTGATGATTAAGCTATGAAGAAAAAAAAAACAATCACTGTCGTCTAACTTTTGCAAAACCTTGACATCCATGATGAATATGTGAATTTCATTGTCAAAAAATCCTTATAATACAATTCAATTATGATTTCAAATATACAACTGATCAAGATCAAAATAGTTGATCTTTATATGTAATGCTAATTTTGACATTTACATTAGAATCCTGATATGCATGGAACAAGATTTAAATATCAATTTATAGATGATTATCACAGAATGTCAATGTTAAAATCGCTCGATCCTCTTGTTAAATACTTAAGAATAGAAACACCATTGCAAGTGATACAATCTGTAGTATAATATGAAGACGATTTATTGAAGATTTATTTGGAACCTAATAGAAATCAAAATGTACTTTTGAAATATATACTGGTTTTAATATGATTACTGGTTAGATTTGTGTATATATTGAACTGTGTAGTACTTCATATTGATTATTCAAATGATTTTCTGACTACTAATATGGATATTTACACTATCATAAAATGAACTCCTTATAAGGGAAAGATATAACTAATATAATCACACATCCCCTCTTCAAACGGTGACTATATGACATCGAGATGATTGGAAAAAAATCGATATCATCTGCCAGTCACACGCAAATTAATTAAGACCTCGGTCACCACCATATCAATCAAAGACTACTGAACATTAAATACGACATAACGATGGTAGAGTATGTCATATCTAGAAGCTTAGATTCTTAATATACCGCATATGATTTGAGCACCCGAACGCTAGAATACTTCCCAAGTTACAAATGGGAAAACAGAAGAAGACTGGAGAAAGTGTTTGTTGGGCAAAAATCGAAATATACAGAAAATCATGAGTATTTATAGATATTAGCGTTTGTTAAAATATTTAAATTCGACCAATCTGCAAAGAGGCATTTTATGCTACTGATCAATAGTAGCATGCCATATTGATATTCTAGAAAGCTACATTGCGTTCTAATTGGATGGAATTATTCGGCTCTTCTAGAGCCTTTAGAGACTCCATCGTAGTTCTCAGAAGTCATCCCAATAGAGTGAATGACAAAACATTTGTATTTGAATTTAGTTAATACAATCAAAGTCCAGCTCCTCAAGTTGTATTTTAGACATGAGGAACCAATTTGACCCTTAAATGAACTGTAGAATAGTTTTCAAATTATCCAATATATAAAGACGCTAATAAATAAGAATTCTATCATTATTTCTAACAATTTTAAAGTGATGTAAACTATAGAATTTTTCTTGATTAACACATTCTTACACAATGAAACATGTCAACATGAAAATAAAGTTGTGTTTTATCTTTATGGAAAAAAAACAACAAACAAAAATATGATTATATTTACTTCCAAAACCGATTGATCCTGTAGGTAGAGCTGGTGCCGGTGAAGGTTGATATGGTGGAGGGGCAGATGGAAGTGTTGAAGTTTGCTGAAACTGAAACACGATTGTATTTTGTTATACAACAGATGTCAAGGTACTCAATGATAAATAAATATGTATATAATGAAGCAGGTGATTTGTTACTCAGAACGATGTCTATCCAATTAACTGGATAGTTGTTTCGTTGTGAAGCTCTCAATGTCTTTTAGACAGTGATTGATTAGTACGTACTTTAAACAGGGTATAAGTACACTATAAGGATGAGCTTAAAACAACTGCGATGAGATTACAGCTACTTTATAGCCAATCAAAAAACAGCTCTTATAAAAAACAGATAGTTTATAGAAAAGAAGTTAATTTATATAGAAAGAGTCCTCACATTGTTCCTACTTAAGATTAGGTATGTTATAATCTCTTTCTTCTTACGGTTATGACCCAGCTATTCCTATTGCTTTGTATTCTTGGACACCGATTCACTCGACAAGACCCCAAATCAGAACACAGTTGAACAGGAAAGAGATTATATTCCAAATAACAAGGTTAGATGGAAGCAAGATGCAAGCCAGAAGCACAATAGGGAAAAACGTCAGTATATTTATAGTTTTTACATAAGAAGATTCCAGAATATTCTCCAACTATCGACTAGTGCTGATTGGATAAGAATTAGCCAATCAGTGTGCAGCAAAACAATCATGCATTGAGCATGCTTTAATCTAGTCTATGTCCCGTTAACAAGGTACATAGGATAAAGAATAAAGATTAAGGTTTTAATTACGAACTGACATTAATTATCATGTAAAAATTCTGTTTAGTCATATGGATGGATAGATTTCGCTTAAAAGTTCCCATTATGCTATATGATTAGTTCATCTCTGAAATGTAGTCCCATCAGATTAAGATGTATTTTAAAATATTATCAATTCGCCTGTTATATGCACTTTACAGACAATTGAGCATTTCGATACACTTAACATTATCGTTTTTACTCAATCGTAGCAAACATTAATCTTATATTATCACTTAAAACATTTCGAAGAATATACAAAGGTATCTATCTTTACTATTCGTTAAACACAATAATCTATTACTGCTAACTATTCTGATATTTATCTTGATCATTTCATCTTGGTGAATTGATAATAAAATGTGGCAACTTCAACCAATTCCCATATGTTCCAGGTTACACATTGTATTTAGCTGATTGACTGAGAATTTAAGTACCTTAGACAGAGTTCTATACAGCGAAATCATGTTATTCTTCTGAATTACTTGTTTTAAATCATTCTGAATATGTGTTAAACTGCATTACATTTGAATATATAAAATAATAGTAATACGCTACACGTACACCGATAACAATGTTTACTAAAAACTAAACGACACAAAGAAGAAATCTAACCCTGCTAACTTTCATCTTCAGAAGTAAGGCTTATCAGAGTACGGAGCTCACAAAAATTCCCGTTTAGCTACCTCCAAACAGTTGTCTCTTGGTTATCCAGTCACCCTCCGATATGATCAAGAAATCTATACCGGTTTTCTCTGTTTATATATCTCAAAAAGCGATATGCTTCCACGGTGTGTGCAACCGGGAAGTGACAATCTCCTAACTAGCTATAAAAAGCATTCGTAATGCTCTTACGATCGAATACACTTGTTACTTCTCAATAATATTTCCATTCCCACTACCAACCATAATTCTTATGAACCCGCTTTTATCCAACATGCCTGAACTGAACAAAAATTACTTTATCACATAATGAATGAAACTCCGCCTACAACTTCTCTAGTGTTAGTGCCGGTCCCAAGCCCGGGTAAAGGAGGAGGCTTGAGCAGGGGTTGGCAGCCCCATCCCAAAGGAAATAACCTTGCTAGAAAAACGCTAATCAGAATAAACAATTTAAAACATTTAAACTCTGCCCTCTGAGTTGAAGGAATAATTATGACGCCTCATGGTAGAAGCCGAGTTCCTTCGGAAGTCACGAGGCCGATGCCCTTTCTAACAACTCGAAAAACAATTTTTATAGGTACATGGAACGTCCGGACAATGTGAGAGATCAGGAAGACCAGTCAAATAGCAACGGAAATGAGGAGATACAAATCGGCAGTACTGAAAATCAACGAAACCCATTGGACCCAAGCTGGACAGCAAAGGCTAAATACGAGAGAGGTGCTGCTATACTCCGGTCACGAAGAGGAAAATGATCCACACACTCAGGGAGTTGCTCTGATGCTGTCCAAACAAGCACGAAATGCACTTGTAGGATAGGAATCTCACGGATCCAGATTCATCAAAGCATCATTCAAAACAAAACACGAGGGGATTACAATGAATGCTATCCAGTGTTATGCACCCACCAATGATAGCAATGACGACGATAAAGATCAGTTCTACGATAGGTTGCAGTAAATCATAGCGAAGTGTCCAAGAAAAGACCTCATCATCCTAATGGGAGACACCATTCGTTCTGTCAGAATCCTGGAGCCCATGTGCACCATTGGTTTGGAATCAGGATTTTTTAACTTTTCTATATGGACTCTCCATATCTACCAACCCGTTTAAAGAGCCGGACATTCGCTTCTCGTCCTCTCAATTTCGTTAACAACACCCCCGCCTCGAGAAGGTAGTGAGTAGGACTTTCCTTATTTATTTATTTGAACACATAAATACTGGTACAAGGGGGCGCCAAATATATATACACGCCACACTTCTCTGGCAGTGGTTGTATATGTTATGGCTCAAAGCAGACAGCCCGATTATATGACAGTGACTTATCGACCGGATCAAGGATTCAGAATCTCGATAGCCTATTCTGGTCCGTTGTCCCCAACTCTGCTGACTCGATCAAGAAGTCTTGGTAAGGCGTAGAAGTGTATTCTACAAGCAACAGCAGATACCAAGTCAGGCAGGCAGATCAGATCAAGCATACAAGTCAAGCGTATTTATACAAATATTTACAATCGATATTGTCATGGAAGATTTTTGAACATTAATCAACAATTGACTGCTATTTGAACATTTAATCGATAGTTCATCAATTGACCTATTTGTACATTTAATCAATAGTTCATCAATTGACCTATCTGCATATTTAATCGATAAGTAAATTACAAAATTTGAGTTTTGGGGATCTATCGTCCCCAACACTCCTCCCCTTATTAGAAGATCCGGAGTTGATATCCGGATTTTAAGTTTTCCAGGTCCATCCTCCCCCACGAAACAGTGTTGGATCCTCATATACCAACGTTATAATTAACTTGAATTTATTTAAGACATATTTATCGCACTGAACAGAGAATTGACTGAAAGTGACTAAGTCTTGAGGCTGAACGACACTTGATATGAGGTGTTCGAAGTTTAATTCTTCTGAAATATTGTGACCAAATTTATTTGGAATCTTATTTGTAGATAATCGATCATCAAGGTAATTAGCATCTATCAAAATTGTATTAAGTTTTTGATCATCATTTGATGCATCTGACATATTTTCTGGTAAAAGAGAATCTTGATAATAAGATTTGTCAAAAACATCTGTCGCAGACTGATGAGAACCATTTGAAGAAGTTGTATTCAGTGTACTGCTCGATTTGTTTTCTGTTTCATGGGTGGTTATTGCGACAATTCTATGAGCATTTGCCAGGGAGTGTGTTTGTGAGCTGGATAAGTCACCGTCTGCACATGCTGTTTTGGGGATAATGGAGTTTGAGTCCATTACCGGGCATGTTTCTGGAATGGAGAGGACTGGACCACTGGGCGCATCATGGATGACTGCCGTTCCGTTTGAAGTACAGTTAATCGAGGATTCATGGAGGCTGCTGTCATTTTCCAGCTCACTGTGTAACTTAGATATCAATCCATCCACTTCCGTCGCATCTTCATAGCATGACTGACTTAGCAGCTGCGTGCGGAACTTGACTAATAACTCCAAATGTCGTTCAAAGAGCAGCTGCAATCGATCGGAAGGGAGTGTCATTTTTTTGGATCAGCACCAGCAATGAAGATTACTGTATGAATAATGACTAATGTCGTTCAGGGACACTGATGACAAACTGGATACTGATTGATTGAATAATTAGACTGGATTTTGTCCAATTACAGAATGACTTTGGATTGTATTTTTTTTACCCCATCGCCAATTGTTATGGCTCAAAGCAGACAGCCCGATTATATGACAGTGACTTATCGACCGGATCAAGGATTCAGAATCTCGATAGCCTATTCTGGTCCGTTGTCCCCAACTCTGCTGACTCGATCAAGAAGTCTTGGTAAGGCGTAGAAGTGTATTCTACAAGCAACAGCAGATACCAAGTCAGGCAGGCAGATCAGATCAAGCATACAAGTCAAGCGTATTTATACAAATATTTACAATCGATATTGTCATGGAAGATTTTTGAACATTAATCAACAATTGACTGCTATTTGAACATTTAATCGATAGTTCATCAATTGACCTATTTGTACATTTAATCAATAGTTCATCAATTGACCTATCTGCATATTTAATCGATAAGTAAATTACAAAATTTGAGTTTTGGGGATCTATCGTCCCCAACAGTATACACGTGGCCAGGTGAAGGTATCTCGAGAGGGAGAGCTGGCTCTCTCCACCCTCGACCATACCAGGGCATTTTGGGGCTGAACTACCCCCCGAGTGTGATAGCTAATAAAACCAGCCGGTTTCCAAAACCAAATAGTTGGATGGTCGGTTTTGAACCTGTGGCTGAAAGGTGAACGGCTTAACTGTTGTGATTTTAAACCCGGCTAACTATCGCGTGATTTATTCGCCAATCGAAATGAGACTTATATAATCTTAGTGCTGTGCCAAGCCAATGACGTTCGACCGGTATGAGCAGCCTAGAGCCTTGATCGGTTCTTTGTTCTCCTAGCCCGCCCAGAACGCCAATAACAGCTTCCATTATTTGAATTATTTATTTAAACATACTTGGTTTATGTACCAGCCAAACAGATCACACCACACCACAAAATAAGAAATAACATTTGTACAAGATCAAGCCAAAAAGTGGCTGTGATTGTGGGAGACTGGAATCAACAAACTGAGTATAGTTTAAGAATAGTAAATCGTATCATAATAGCCAATAGGTCCAAATAAAGCTTATAATAAGGCGAATATAGATTTTCATAAACTAGTTACTGAATAGTTAGACAATAAGAATATATATATATATATATAATATTACTTTATTAATAGATCTTGGAAGTTACCTATAATTTAATCACCAGTCGGACATAACATTAACCACTAAGCAACCCCTTGGCTAGTTACCAAGTAAAGGTTTATGTACTCTGTCTTCGTTACGTAACGGATAATGACACAATACAACTGTTCGAATCAAACCGGATTAAGCAAAGGGTCAGTTAATCAGTTATCATCAATGTGAGGGGTTTTACCGCGCGACATAGTGGCTGGAAGTGGGATGCTTTAAAAACATAGTACAACAGTAAAGCAACAAGGTGAAGACCAAATGAGTCAAAATGATTAGTATTAAGTAGTGCTAAAATACTTAGATCTTTAGAAGGAATCAATTAAGTTAAAGAATTAATTAGAAGTATAGAGTAACATTCAAACTATCAGCTTAGATATATTTCCTATTTATTTACTTATTGTGCCAATGGCAACCGATATCAAGTTACGTCACCATATAAAGTTCCTAAGCACTAGATAATCAGTCAGTATCTACAAATGCCATGTTTGTCTAGTCCTAAGTACTGCTGATCGAATTATATCGATTGAGTTACAATGTGGACATTATTGTCTAAGCGATTAAACGTCGTGTTTGCACTATGTTCAAATGTCAAGTATTTGAAGGTTCGAACACATCCAATAACACCATTCTTCTGAAAAATGCAGGTACGCTTTGGTAATATGTGCTAACTGGCTCAAAACCTGAGTCAAACAAGGTTTTCTGTTGATAATCTCCAGCTGACTAACATAAAAAACATAGTAATTATAAACGAATATGAAAAAGCAACAAGATTAAACTATTGAAATACTACTCACCAATGAAATTAACGCATTTGTCCATGAGCTAAAGTATGAAAAGATAATAGGATGGATAAAATCACAACGTAGATTGAAAATGTATTCGATTAAAACTGTTATATCCCGATGAGAATAACGAATGGTAACTTTTGGGATCCATTTATGGATCAATACTATACGTATACTTTTATCGTATAATTGTTAAGTAGCTAAACTATTCATATTCGTGCTCCTCTTATTATAAGCTATGTTTTAACCTATGAACTATTATATAATTTACCATTATTGAGTTATGCCCAGACTATTCATTACTACCTGCCATATTCACAGCCACATTTGGCTAACTCTTGTGTAAATGTTGTTTTCTATTTTATGGTACGATGTGGTCTGTTTGGTTGGTATATAAACCCAGTGTGTTTGAAATAAATGAATCATATCGCAGAGGTCGAGATTGATATTCTGGACTAGGCGGGAAACAGGACCGATAAGGACTTTAGACTGCTCGTACTTCTTTTGTGCGTCATTGTTCCGATAGATAATTCACTGTTCTCTAATTGGCGGTGTCATCACGTTATATATTAATGGGACACAGGGCACAAGTTATAACAAAAACAGCCTAAAGTCAAACTCCATAAACATAAAAAAATTTCCGATACTATTACTTGTGAAAAATAAAGACGCTAATGGTGCACCAGTAACGTTTTCCCCAGTAATCATAGTGTTTAAGGAGCAGTGACATAGACAGTGAGATTTTAGGATAAATTTCATCCTGATTTTTTAAAATCCACTGTAAATTTAGTAAAGGATTGAGAGTAGTCGAAAATGTCATTGAAATCCACACAGTAGTTAATAGTTTCATCTTAGTGAAAGATTTTTCAGCAGTGCCCACTGGCGACGTCACTGCCCATCGATAATGACTACTTTACTCCCGACAAGTGGGTTAAACTAGTCACGGCTTTTCACTACACATACACTCTACACATTCTCTTGGTATGTCTGGTTGGACTGCTGATGTGTGCCCCCAAATGTCAGGACATTTTCCAACTCCTCTTGGTGGATTCCACGTACTCACCACGAGGTACCTTGAGTAAAATATTACTTCAACAAGATAGTAGGACAGAGTCGAAACTGAAGGCCTTGGGTACGAACCCCACGAGCGGGATTGTGGATGTTTACTGCTGAGGAGTCTCATAATAGGACGAAACGGCCGTATAATGCTTCCAGGTTTTCAATGGTGATCTAACATCAATCGGTTCAAGATCTCAATCAACAAATTAATTTCCACAACCCTATAGTGATTGCACCCAAATGTCCTGGTACGGCTGATAGTGAGGCGAGTCAGCATCACTCTCGAAACACTCTCACATGAATACGCATATACTGTCACTACTAGGGAAGTCCTACTCACTAAATTCTCGTACCACGGGTGTTGTTTACGAAATTGAGAGGACGAAAATCGAATGTCCGGCACTTTAACCGGGTTGGTGGACATGGAGGGTTCACCTAAGGGAGTTGGAAAACCCTAATTCCAACCCAATGGTGTACATGGACTCCAGTATCCTAAAGGAACAAATGGCGTACGAACCTATTTTTGGTCACCGGCTTCCATGGGACTACATCTCCTTACGTTGCCCCATAGCCTTTTGGATCAGACCTTCAGGTCGAAGGTTTTGGGTGTAGCCCCCTAAGAAAACCACCTGTTCCGGTTTGGGTACCCGGACAGTATCACAGCCCTCACACATATCAAATGAGATCTGTGTGGCGCATATGTATTTGGTGCCTCCTTATACCACTGTTTATATGTTAAATAAATAAAAAAGAATATCCTGACATGTAATCTATTCAACTAATTCACTCCTAATAAAGATTGATTCGAAGTCAACTAGTACTTTACTTCTGGATTTCTCGAGTGGGAAGAAATCTAACCATACTCTGACAATTAGCTTAGATATATACGAAGTAACACAATAACACTATTACTATCCAGAAAATTCATCACTACAGTCCTGAGTATGAAACACATTTGTACAAACCTGTGTGACATACCCTTTACTTTGATAAAAATGGTTTTCAAACAAGAAAAAGAATTTAACTTCCACAATCGGTTGTTTGATAACGAATATACTGTGCATTAACTAAGTGCTTATTTAAAAATCCGTAGAGAATATTCAAAGACAAAGAACATTTGTTTTCAATAACTGTATAATCAGGATCTACGGTTATAAGTCCATAATTAATGTAATATTTTACAAACGCCAAAATAAGGCACAGATCAATGAATCTGATAATGTTATATGGTAAAAATGGTGAACTTCCGCATCTGTTACGACGTAACTACTTCAAGGTGGTGTTATTTATAAGTTAGAAAGATTATTTAATAAAGGTCAGAGTGATTCGTCTGTGGTGTCAAGTTATAATCAGTATAATTGTAATACAAAGAATCATGTGAATAAAACGCATAGCAGGATAATTTAACTTCGTTAATGGAGGAGATGAAAAGTGCTTAATGAAAAAAAAGTCTATGTGTTTAGAGTTATTTGTCTTCCAATGGTCAAATACAGTGTATAACCTCAATTAGCTAAAAATGCTCCAAATAAGCACTGATGTATTTTTAAATGTGGGTGGCTGTCAGTCGGTTGCAACGTAAGACCAGGTCCATATATGCATCGGTCAAAGTTGCCATACCTCATCAACAAAACAACATGAATACCAAATTCATAGAAGAGTTACGACAATTATACGGAACCCAACCAAACAGTCTGCATCTACCAACATGGCTCAGACTAGAAGTTAGTGACCTCAAGGACTGATGCCACGTTTTGGTTTGGCCGCCCCTAACTTTTTTCCAACCATCTCCAACACTAGTTAACATTGCGCATCATGGTAATCGGAGTTCAGGCATACGTAACACATGGCCCAAACACCTCAGTCGATGAAGATTAACAACCTCATCAACTGATATACCATCACCATTCCCTAATAACCTGCGTCTAAACTTACTGTTACATACCAGGTGATCACAGCAGATGCCAGCAATATTTCTAAGGCATCTGTGGTCAAATACTAGTAACTTACGGGTGTCTTCTACTCTTAAGGGCCATGTTTCGCAGCCGTAAAGTAAAACAGAACGAACTGCCGCGCAGTATACTCGCCCTTTTATTGATAGACGGATATCTCGCCTTCGCCAAAGATGACGTAAGTTGGCAAAAGCCAAACGAGCTTTTCGAATCCGTGCTGAGATTTCGTCAGACACCAACCCATTAGGGCTGATCAGACTTCCAAGATAAGTGAAGTTGTCAACGCGTTCAACTACTTCACTCCCTATCCTTAGTTCAGGTGTTAACCCAGACCAGTCCTGAAGCAACAACTTGCATTTCGAGGGAGAGAAGCGCATCCCAAACATTCTGGCATTGTTGCTTAGTGCTGCCAGAACACTCTGCATTTTGTCAGCGTCTTCACCAAACAGGACTATGTCATCTGCGTATTCTAAGTCGATAAGTGGACCTCCTGGAAGGAGATCAATACCCAAGAATTCAGTCGACGAGAGTGTTATTTCCATCAATAGGTCTATGATGAAGTTAAACAGAAATGGAGAAAGTGGACAGCCTTGACGGACACCACTTGAGGTTGCAAAAGTAGATGACAGTTCGCCATAAGCCCTGACTCGACTAGTAGTGTTCGAGTAAAGAGCCTTCACAAGGTTTATGTACTTCTGAGGTTCGCCTTTCAGTGACAGACACTGCCACAGAGTCTCGCGGTCTACCGAGTCAAATGCTGCTTTTAAGTCGAGAAATACCACCATCGTCGGACGCCGATAAGCATGCCTGTGTTCTAAGACCTGACGAATGGTGAATGTGTGGTCAATGCAGTCACATGCAGGTCTGAAGCCAGCCTGGTTTTCTCGTGTTTGCAGTTTTCACGAGTCTTTGTTAGGTGTCCGATAATTATTGAGGCTAGTATTGTAGTTGCTATGTTAGTCAAACTAATCCCTGTATGTCATTATATGTGAAAATTATATTTGAAATATTCTCAGCGATTGAATATTCGTATATAATCCCTGTATGGTTACCACAGAATGATTTTGACCCTTTCTTATATATTGAGACAATCAATCAGTGATTGCGACCAGTCAGATGGGATTACGTCTAACTCCCAGATCTTAGCTAAAATATTAGTCAACCTAATCGCTAAAAGACCTCTGGAGCCAATCCATTTGGACCAGCTGCTCTTTCTCGTTTCAGATTAACAATAGCCTTTTGAACTTCTGCTAGAATTGGGGGACCTACTTCAATGTTCCATTCACACTGTCTGGGAATGGAGGGTAGTAGTAGAGCAGCTGAAGGCCAGCTGAACTGTTCTCTGAAATGTTCCGCCCATCGTTCTAAACGTCTGGACTGAGAGCAGATGAGGGTGTCGTCTTTTCCCAAGATCGTCTTACACCAGTTTGTTTTACTAATCTGAAGAGGTCTTGTGTTCCCTATAACCGCCGCCTTTTCCATCTCTTTTGCTTTCGTTGCCCACCACTGCTCACGGTCGTTCCTTAGACTTTTGATAAACCTAGATCTGATTTGCTTTCGTTCTTCATCGTGTTCGGAGTTTGATGGGATGACTTTACGAGAATCCTTCAGTGAAATTGACTTAATAGAAGTCCATTGGCTTTTCGTGACCTTTTGGTTCAAATCACCAATACATGTAGCTTCTGTTTTTACAGCTGTTCGTATATCTTTCCAAGCAACATCTGGGTCGGCCTCATTTACAGAAATACCTAAGTGTTACCTCAGTTGTTTCTGGGATCTACTTTTGGCTTTTTCACCACTCAGTTTAATTCTAATGGGTCTTCTTAGTGTGGCTTTTCTGTGTCCAGTGAGGAGCAAGTAAATGCATGCTCGTATCAGAGCATGATCGGAGTCCAAGTATTCCAGAACGAGAGACAGTCTTTTATCGAGCCTCTCCAACGATGACTGATGGCAATATGGTCTATTTGAGTCCATCGTTGGTTTGGTGTAGGGGGTCGCCATGTTAGAACGATGTCTCTCCTTATGCTTAAAATTAGTGTTTGCCAAAATAAACGATCGTCTGAGCACAGTTGCAGCAGACGATCACCATTATCTGTTCGCTCAGCTGGAATACTAAAATACCTATCTAAATGTCTTTTTGATTGGTTTAAGCTACCTTACTTACTCCTGTAACTCCTCGTAGAGGGGCACTGGCTGCCCACCAGCACTTTCCAACCAACCCTGTCCCTAGCAATCCTTTCCAGTTCTTTCCAGTTGTTATTCACGCTTTTCATATCTGCTTCTATTTCCCGACGTAATGTGTTCTTTGGCCTTCTACTTTTACGCTTCCCTTCAGGATTACAAGTTAAGACTTGTCCCACTATGCAGTTTGGTGATTTCCGTATTATATGTCCTATCCACTTCCATCGTCTTTTTCTAATTTCCTCCTTAGCTGGAAGCTAGTTTGTTCTCTCCCACAGAAGGCTGTTATTGATGGTATCCGGCCAATGGATGTTGAGTATCTTCAGTAGACAGCCATTTATGAATACTTGTGCCTTCTTGATGATGGTTGTAGTAGTTCTCCAAGTTTCAGCTCTGTACAGTGTAACTCTCTAGACGTTAGTAATGAAAATCCTGACTTTGATATTGGCTGACAGTTGTTTTAAGTTTCATATTTTCTTCGACTGTGGGACTGCGGCCCTTCCTTTAGCAATCCTCGCCTTTATATCTGCATCCGATCCCCCTTCTTCATCGATGATGCTTCCCAGGTACGTGAACGATTCCACATCTTCCAGGGTTTCGCCGAAATGTTTGGTGTTCTCTGTGTCGCATTTAAGGACCTTGGTTTTCCCTTTGTGTATGTTGAGGCCTATTGAAGAAGAGGCTGCTGCTACACTAGTTGTCCTCATCTGCATTTGTTCATATGTATGGGATAGAAGAGCTAAGTCATCTGAGAAGTGCAAAACGTCAAATTGGTTTTGAGCTCTCCAATGTATTCCGTGTTTTCCACCAGATGTCGAGGTCTTCATAATCCAGTCGACAAGTGGAAGAAAGAGGAATGAGGAAAGTTAGCAGCTTTGTCTGACTCCGTTCCTCACTTGGAATGCATGTCAACTGTCCTCCATGCACGACTTTGCACTGTAATCGGTCGTATGAATCACGGATGATGTTGACGATCTTCTCAGTTGCTCACTCTATAGTGTCGAAGAAGTTTCCATAATGTTCTCCTATCCACACGGTCAAACGCCTTGTCATGACCAATGAAGTTGATGTATTGTGATGAGTTCCACTTAACTAATTGTTCGATATCTATGTGTTAAAATAAATAATAAATAAATTGTTCGACGATGATCTGTAGTATCGCGATTTAGTCTGTGCATGACCGGTCCCTACAGAATCCAGCCTGTTGTTCTCGAAGTTGGGCGTCTACTGAGTCTTTCATCGGGTTCAGCAACACTGTTGAAAACATTTCCTGGTACTGACAGTAGTGTAATGCCTCGGCAGCTCAGATCTCCTTTCTTTAGGATCTTGATGAGGTGTCCTTTCCAGCCTGTCTGTGGCACTTATTCTTCTTCCTAAATCTTCCTGAATAGAACGTGGAGCATGCTTGCAGTTGCTTCTATGTCTGACTTCAGAGCTTCAGCTGGTATATTGTCAGGTCGTGTTGCTTTCCCACTCTTGATTTGTCTGACGGCCATTCTGATTTCTTCCGTCGTTAGTGGAGTGACATCTATAGGAAGGTCTGTGTGTACTACTTCGGTGTTCGGTGGATTCATTGTAGATGGTCTATTCAAGAGTTCCTCGAAGTATTCTGCCCATCTGTTACGCTGTTGTTGAATTTCAGTGATTGGCTTACCTTCTTTGTCTTTGACCGGCCTCTCTGGTTTACTGTATTTCCCTGCTAGTTTCTTCGTTGTATCGTGAAGCTGTTTCATATTTCCTTCTCTAGCAGCTTTTTCTGCCGTCGTTGCTAGTTCTTCCACGTATTTCTACTTGCCGGCTCTAATGCTCTTCTTCACTTGTTTGTTTGCTTCAGTGTATTCAGCTTGTGCGTTGACTTTCTCTGCTCTTGTTTGGCTGTTGTTAATTTTTACCTTTTTGTCCTTCTTTTCTTGAATTTTGTCTAGGGCTTCGATAGAGATCCATTCCCTATTATGATACTTCTTGCGGCCCAGAACATCCTAGCACGTTGATATTAGTGCTCCTTTGATCGCGTTCCAATTGTTCTCCATAGTAGTTTCCTCTTCTTTGAGTTGATCTTGTAAGGCTTGGAACCTGTTGTTGAAAGTTATCTTAGATTAGTTGAGTTTGTCAGTATTACGAAGGAAGGCTGTATTGAACCTTTGTAATGCTGTTTGTCCAGTTGTACAGTGTTTCTTTAGCTTCAGTTTCATCTTGGTCACAACCAGGTGGTGATCTGAAGCTATGTCAGCTCCTCTCCTGATTCTCACGTCTTCCATTGTCCTTCGGAATTTTTTATTGATGCAAATATCTATCTGGTTCTCTGTGGTGTGATCCGGTGAGACCCACGTAGCTTTGTGTATACATTTGTGTAGAAATATTGTGCCGCCTATGACCAATTTGTTGAATGCACATAGATTTGCAAATTTTTCCCCATTTTCGTTTCTCTCTCCCAGTCCATGTCGTCCCATGATATCTTCACATCCGGTGTTGTCCATTCCGACTTTGGCGTTTAGATCTCCCATCAGAATGGTGAGGTCCTTTCTTGGACACTTCGCTATGATTTACTGCAACCTATCGTAGAACTGATCTTTATCGTCGTCATTGCTATCATTGGTGGGTGCATAACACTGGATAGCATTCATTGTAATCCCCTCGTGTTTTGTTTTGAATGATGCTTTGATGAATCTGGATCCGTGAGATTCCTATCCTACAAGTGCATTTCGTGCTTGTTTGGACAGCATCAGAGCAACTCCCTGAGTGTGTGGATCATTTTCCTCTTCGTGACCGGAGTATAGCAGCACCTCTCTCGTATTTAGCCTTTGCTGTCCAGCTTGGGTCCAATGGGTTTCGTTGATTTTCAGTACTGCCGATTTGTATCTCCTCATTTCCGTTGCTATTTGACTGGTCTTCCTGATCTCTCACATTGTCCGGACGTTCCATGTACCTATAAAAATTGTTTTTCGAGTTGTTAGAAAGGGCATCGGCCTCGTGACTTCCGAAGGAACTCGGCTTCTACCATGAGGCGTCATAATTATTCCTTCAACTCAGAGGGCAGAGTTTAAATGTTTTAAATTGTTTATTCTGATTAGCGTTTTTCTAGCAAGGTTATTTCCTTTGGGATGGGGCTGCCAACTCCTGCTCAAGCCTCCTCCTTTACCCGGGCTTGGGACCGGAAGTAACTCTAAGAGGGCTACAGGCTACCTAATTGGACATTAGAGTCACCTGCTACGAGTACTATGTTTGAGCGTTTAGCTTCTTGAAGATGTTCAGAAAGCTTTCTGCTAATGTCATCTTTCACTTCATCCCAACTGCAGATAGCGGGAGTGTAGGCAGGAACGACGTCCGCCCCTAACCTTCCGAGTCCTTACGGAGCCGTTTAGCCGAACACCAAATAGGCAACTGTAAACGGTGATCCGTTCTAATAGTGGTTGTTCTGCCCTCATACTTAGTGCTATGCCTACACGAAAAGTGTATCTCGTCGGCTTTCCGTTTTGCCGAGGTGAGGTCAAATGAATGACTACACTAGGATCCTGTATGCGTGTTTGAGAGACACAGCATACATCGATGCTACGAAATTCTAGGGTTTTAGCCAAGGAGGTCAGCTGATCGATTTGACATAGGGTGCGTACGTTGAAGGCTCCAATGTGTAGTTTGGAGCGAGGTTTCAGTAGATCTGATACAGAGTTTCGCGCACTAGAATCGTAGGCCATAGAAGCACTTCAGGAGCAAGCCAAAAGAGGAAGTTTAGAGTTGAAAGTCGATGTAGGAGGAATAATAGAAAATAAAGCGGGAGGTTGATTTTGAATACAGTGGTCTTGAGTGCTGTTAGAGGTATGAGGGCGGTTTTCACTTCCCGGTTGCCCACACCGTGGAAGGGTTGTTCTGAAGGTACCTGAAAAGGAAACCGGATTAGAAGTGGTCTTATTGATTCGGGAGCGTGACCGCAGTGCCCAAGGGACAACTGCTTGAGGTCGGTCACACACGACCTTGTTATGGGTAATTTTTGTGTTAGCTCCGTACTTATTGAGACCTTACCGCCGGAGACGGATATCCGTGGGATAAGGCGAGGTGTGCATTTTTAGGATCGACCTTTTCTAACCCCACCCCTCCTTGTGGGAAGGCAGCATCGCTGTCATGCTGGTTGTCTGAAGGAAACACCTTACTGCTGTCACACCTCTGTACAGTCAGCAGTACAACTTCGCCTTCGGACCTTGGGTTTGTTGCTTTTAGTCTTACCGCTCTTCAACCGACCCGTCTGACATGGTAGGATCTTGAGGAACGGTTGGTTGCAGCCAGTATAGCTCGGTTGCTTCACCACGATAAGCAAGCCCGGCCACCACACATCAAGGTAGCAGCAACGGTCGGGTGATTGGCTGTATTGTTGTCCAACGGTCTGTGTGATATCTTGCTAGTTTAATTAATTTAAATACACTCATAATGTTGTAGTTGGAGCCTACGCTGAGATATAAAAAAGCCGTAATCACTTGAACTGGGTAGTTTTGTTCAGTTATCGTATTGAATGAAATTTAGAACGTAGAGATAGTAAAATTCTGTTAAAGCATTGAAAAAATACCTCAATGTTGCTTGATCCGGACAGGCAAACCAAGCCATTTGATTCCCCATATGAGGTCCGTAGAGAACACCAAAAGCCAAAGGAATTTCTGAAGCTGTTAATGAGGTCTGGTTGCATGGAACACGGTGAAAAGGTTCTCCAAACGCTAGAAACGATGCTACACGCTAAAGCGAAAAGTTAGAGAATGATAAGAACGAACTCTAATTTCAACACTTCGTTTGGGTGAGGTGGAAGATGCATCATCAAACCATTGAAACCAACCATTATTTAACAGCTTACAGTACACATTGTGCCAATTTTTACGATCTGAAATGAAATAGTGGTTTAAACAATGCTCGTACCTGACCACTTTTTCAGATAACCTTCCTTGATGGACATTGAGAAGTTTTATGTATCAGATACTTAGGTTAATGTTTTTCTCAAAAATAAAGTTTGGCAGCCAAAAGTTAACTGTTCCAAGAGTTGATCAGTAAACATAACAGAAAAAACTCCAGGGCTGAAATGAAAATACGAAACAAATTAGCACAAGAATCTTCTCTTTCAAGCGGAAATAGCAGAATGTTGGTGAAGTTAGCGTTTGATATATTATGGTGGTTTCTAGCATTGGAATCTTCATCTCCAAAGAGTTATTATTTATGTAAACACACATCAACACAAAGAGGCACCAAAATATTTATGCGCCACACAAACCACTGAATTTGTGTGCGGGCTGTGACACTGCACTGGTGCCCAAGCAGGAACAGTTGGTTTTCTTAAGCCACTCACCACGCTTTTGACCTAGAAGTCTAATTCACAGGGCAGTGAGGGAACGTTAAGAGATGCGGTCCCATGGTAGCCGGTGACCAACAACAGGTTTATACACCGTTTATTCCTTTAGGATTCTGTAGCCCATGTGCAGTATTGATTTAGAATCGGGGTTTTCCAACTCCTCTTGGTGGATTCCACGTACTCACCACGAGGTACCTTGAGTAAAATATTACTTCAACAAGATAGTAGGACAGAGTCGAAACTGAAGGCCTTGGGTACGAACCCCACGAGCGGGATTGTGGATGTTTACTGCTGAGGAGTCTCATAATAGGACGAAACGGCCGTATAATGCTTCCAGGTTTTCAATGGTGATCTAACATCAATCGGTTCAAGATCTCAATCAACAAATTAATTTCCACAACCCTATAGTGATTGCACCCAAATGTCCTGGTACGGCTGATAGTGAGGCGAGTCAGCATCACTCTCGAAACACTCTCACATGAATACGCATATACTGTCACTACTAGGGAAGTCCTACTCACTAAATTCTCGTACCACGGGTGTTGTTTACGAAATTGAGAGGACGAAAATCGAATGTCCGGCACTTTAACCGGGTTGGTGGACATGGAGGGTTCACCTAAGGGAGTTGGAAAACCCTAATTCCAACCCAATGGTGTACATGGACTCCAGTATCCTAAAGGAACAAATGGCGTACGAACCTATTTTTGGTCACCGGCTTCCATGGGACTACATCTCCTTACGTTGCCCCATAGCCTTTTGGATCAGACCTTCAGGTCGAAGGTTTTGGGTGTAGCCCCCTAAGAAAACCACCTGTTCCGGTTTGGGTACCCGGACAGTATCACAGCCCTCACAAAAATCAAATGGAACTTGTGTGGCGCATATGTATCTGGTGCCCCCCTGTACCAATATTTGTGTTCAAATAATAAGTTAAAAAATAATAATAAGGACAGAGTCAACCTCAGTATCAGCGAAACAAACCAGTAATTGCATACAGGTTTGTGTACATAGCTTTGAATGAGGGTTTTAGATACTTTACACACCGGATAGAGATGTTGGATCTCAAAATATTCATTATTTCCTTTTCAGTGAATTAACATATGGAGCCAACACAACCTTGAAGAATGACTTTCACAACTTGCAGGTCCTTACTTAGAACGGCTACCACGAAATGTTGTGGTTTATGCTTAGTAGATAGAGTACTGTCCCGAAATAGAAACTTAGGAAAACCATTATGATAAAAGAGGCTATAAAAATGTGATAAATCATGATATTCCCTCTTATTCTTTTATACCATACAGTCTGCAATTAGAGTTTTCAGGAAAAAAAGGGATAAAATTTGTTCAAAAGTTTATGTTTATGGTTGCTTTTTAATGAAATTGATCCAGAAGACAACACAATAATGGGACATTTAATGTGAAATATTAATGGACCACTATAAAATAGTGGGTGGGTTTAACCACCGAAGTTTTGGAAGTCGAAGTGCGGAATAGATAATTTCAGCTAAGAAACCCTCCTTTCTTATTTACTGTTTACAAAGTAGTTAGAGGGTTACAATCAAAAGTCCCGACCGTTGTTGCTACCTTGACGTGGTGGTCGGGCTTGCCTATCGCGATGAAGCAACCGAGCTATACTGGCTGGAACAACCGTTCCTCAAGGTCCTACCATGTCAGACAGGTCGGTTGAAGAGCGGTAAGACTAAAAGCAACAAACCCAAGGTCCGAAGGCGAAGTCGTACTGCTGACTGTACAGAGGTGTGACAGCAGTAAGGTGTTTCCTTCAGACAACCAGCATGACAGCGATGCTGCCTTCCCACAAGGAGGGGTGGGGTTAGAAAAGGTCGATCCTAAAAATGCACACCTCGCCTTATCCCACGGATATCCGTCTCCGGCGGTAAGGTCTCAATAAGTACGGAGCTAACACAAAAATTACCCATAACAAGGTCGTGTGTGACCGACCTCAAGCAGTTGTCCCTTGGGCACTGCGGTCACGCTCCCGAATCAATAAGACCACTTCTAATCCGGTTTCCTTTTCAGGTACCTTCAGAACAACCCTTCCACGGTGTGGGCAACCGGGAAGTGAAAACCGCCCTCATACCTCTAACAGCACTCAAGACCACTGTATTCATAATCAACCTTCCTCTTCAATTCCTATTATTCCTCCTACATCGACTTTCAACTTTAAATTTCCTCTCTCGGCTTCCACCTCAAGTGTCACCATAGCCAACGATTCTAGTGCGCAAAATACTGTCCCAGGTCTACTGAAACCTCGCTCCAAACTACACATTGGAGCCTTCAACGTACGCACCCTATGTCAAATCGGTCAGCAGGCTTCCTTGGCTAAAACCCTAGAGTCTCTTACCATTGACGTGTGCTGTGTCTCCGAAACACGCATACAGGATTCCAGTGTGGTCATTCACTTGACCTCACCTCGGCAAAACGGAGAGCCAACGAGGTACACCCTTCGTGTATCTGGTGACCCGATGGCAAGTTCTCGTGGACTGGCAGGTGTAGGCATAGCACTAAGCATGAGGGCCGAACAAGCACTGCTAGAGTGGATCCCCGTCAACAGTCGCCTATGTGCTGTTCGGCTGAACGGCTACGTAAGAACTCGGAAGGATAGGAACACACGTCGTTGCCTTTTTGTCGTTTCTGCCTACGCTCCCACTGACTGCAGCTCAGATGATGTGAAAGATGAATTTTACAGAAAGCTGTCCGAACTTCTTCAGAAAGCTAAACGCTCAGACATAGTACTCGTAGCAGGTGATTTTAATGCTCAGATAGGCAGTTTAAACCAAACAGAAAGGCATTTAGGTGGATATTTTAGTATTCCGACACAGCGAACACATAATGGTGATCGTCTGCTGCAGCTATGCTCAGACAATCGTTTATTTTTAGCAAACAAATTTTAAGCATAAGGAGAGACATCGTCTAACATGGCGACCCCCTACACCAAACCAACGATGGACTCAAATAGACCATATTGCCATCAGTCATCGTTGGAGAGGGTCGGTAGAAGATTGTCGCTCATTCTGGAGTACCTGCTTGGACTCCGACCATGCCCTAATACGGGCACGCATCTGCTTGCGCCTCACTGGACGCAAAAAAGCCACATTAAAAAGACCCGTTAGAACTGAGTTAAGTAACGAGAAAACCAGAAGTAGGTTCCAGGAACAACTGAGGTCACACTTAGGTAGTTGTGAAGACGAGGCTGACCCAGATGTTGCTTGGAAGGGCATACAATCAGCTGTGGAAACAGCAGTGACATCTATTAGTGACTTAAACCACAGAGTTGTAAGGAACCAGTGGATTTCTTCAAGGTCTGTCACACTGATGGATTCTCGCAAACTCGTCCCATCAGGTTCTGAACATGATGAAGAGCGACAACAAATCAGATCTAGGTTAAGAAAAAGTCTAAGAAACGACCGTGAGCAGTGGTGGGCATCGAAAGCAAAAGAGATGGAAAAGGCAGCGACTATAGGGAACACAAGACAGCTTCACAGACTAATAAAAGAAACTGGAATTAATAAGTCAAGTGTAAGTGAGATTATATCGGAAAAAGACGATACACTCATCTGCTCCAAGTCCAGGCGTTTAGAACGATGGGCGGAACACTTTAGGGAACAGTTCAGCTGGCCTTCAGCTACTCTACAACTACCCTCCATTCCCAGACAGTGTGAATGGAACATTGAAGTAGGTCCCCCGACTCTTGCTGAAGTTCAAAAGACTATAGTTAATCTGAAACGAGGAAGGGCAGCTGGTCCAGATGGATTGGCTCCAGAGGTCTTTAAGGATGGTGGTCCAATTTTAGCGATTAAGTTGACTAATATTTTAGCTAAGATCTGGGAATTAGACTTTATCCCATCTGACTGGTCCCAATCACTTATCGTCCCAATATATAAGAAAGGGTCAAAATCATCCTGTGACAACCACAGAGGGATTAGTTTAACAAACATAGTATCTAAAATACTGGCCTCGATAATTATCAAACGCCTAACTAAGACTCGTGAACTACAAACTCGAGAGAACCAAGCTAGATTTAGACCTGGTCGTGGCTGCATCGATCACATATTCACCATTCGTCAGGTTCTAGAACACAGGCATACCTATCGGCGTCCGACGATGGTGGTATTTCTCGACTTAAAAGCAGCATTTGACTCGGTAGACCGCGAGACTCTGTGGCAGTGTCTGTCACTGAAAGGCGAACCTCAGAAGTACATAAACCTTGTGAAGGCTCTTTACTCGAACACTACTAGTCGAGTCAGGGCTTATGGCGAACTGTCATCTACTTTTGCAACCTCAAGTGGTGTCCGTCAAGGCTGTCCACTTTCTCCATTTCTGTTTAACTTCATCATAGACCTATTGATGGAAATAACACTCTCGTCGACTGAATTCTTGGGTATTGATCTCCTTCCAGGAGGTCCACTTATCGACTTAGAATACGCAGATGACATAGTCCTGTTTGGTGAAGACGCTGACAAAATGCAGAGTGTTCTGGCAGCACTAAGCAACAATGCCAGAATGTTTGGGATGCGCTTCTCTCCCTCGAAATGCAAGTTGTTGCTTCAGGACTGGTCTGGGTTAACACCTGAACTAAGGATAGGGAGTGAAGTA